TCTGTTCTTGGGCACTCAGGTTTTTTCCAGATTCTAGCTATTGTAAAGAGTGCTGCAATGAACAAACAAGTGCAGATGTCACTTCAACTATACATTTTTGCCTCTCTGGGATATATTCCCAGGAGTGGTATTGCTGGGTCAAATAGGAACTCAATTTATAATTTTTGGAGAATCGTCCATACTGTTTTCCAAAAGGGCTGAACCAGTCGGCATTCCCACCAACAGTGAAGGAGTGTCCCTTTCTCGCCACATCCATGCCAGCATTGGTTGCTTTTGTTCTTTTGAATGTGGGCCAGTCTCTGAGGTGTGAAATGGTATCTCATTATGGTTTTGATCTGCATCTCCCTGATGATTAATGATATAGAGCATTTTCTCATGTGCCTTTTTGCCATTCGGATTTCTTCTTTGAGAAAGTTTCTGTTCATTTCATTGCCCTTTTTTTTTTATGAGGTTGGATGTTTTCTTCTTGTGGCGTTCAACCAGTACTTTATATATCCTTGATATCAACCCCTTGTCAGATGTGTTTTCGGCGAATATCCTTTCCCATTCTGTAGACTGTCTTTGTATTTTGGTCACTGTTTCTTTTGAGGTGCAGAAGCTTCTTAGTTTAAGATAGTCCCATTTATCTATCTCTGTTTTCACTTGCTTGGCCAGCAGCGTGACATCTTTGAAGATACCATTAGCTTCAATGTCATGGAGAGTTTTGCCGACTTTGTCTTCAATATACCTTATGGTTTCTGGTCCAATGTTGCTCCCTTTAATCCATTTTGATCTTATTTTTGTACATGGTGTTAGGCAGAGCTCTGAGCCCATTTTTTTGCATGTAGCCGTCCAGTTTTGCCAGCACAATTTGTTAAAGAGGCTTTCCACATTTCTTGCACCTTTATCAAAGATTAGATGATCATATGATTGAGGGAAGATGTCAGTGTATTCAACCCTGTTCCATTGGTCTGCAACTCTGCCTTTGTTTCAGTACCATGCTGTTTCAATTATTACTGCTTTGTAGTAGAGTTTGAAGTTAGGGAGATTGATTCCTCCCATTTTCTTTTTCCCAAGAATTGTTTTAGCTATTCGTGGGGGCTTATTGTTTCATATGAATTTCAGGAGTGTTTGCTCCATTTCTTTGAAGAATGTCATGGGTATCCTTACAGGGATTGCATTGAATTTGTACAATGCTTTGGGAAGTATTGCCATTTTGACAATGTTAAGTCTCCCGACCCATGAGCAGGGGATATCTTTCCATTTCCTCATGTCCTCTTTTATTTCCTGAAGTAGCGTTTTGTAGTTTTCTTTGTACAGGTCCTTTACTTCCTTAGTTAAGCTGATTCCTAGGTACTTGATTTTCTGGAGCGCAATTGTGAACGGGATTGTTTTCTTCATGTCACTTTCTTCTCTTTCACTATTTGCGTGTAGGAAAGCCACGGACTTTTGGGTATTGATTTTATAGCCTGCAACTTTACTATACAAGTCTATTGTTTCTCAGAGTTTCTTGGTAGATGTTTTAGGGTTCTCTAAGTACATATCATATCCCAGTTATTCTCGATGTTTTGTAATTTAGGTGGCTCACTGAGGAGTGATAGCACAGCAGTAGGGCGTTCGCCTTACAAGCGGCCAACATGGCCGACCCGAGTTCGATTCCTCCGCCCCTCTCGGAGAGCCCGGCAAGCTACCGAGAGTATTCGATATGCCAGACACAGTAACAACAAAGTCTCCAATGGAGACGTTACTGGGCCCGCTCGAGCAAATCGACGATCAACGGGAGGGCCTTTACCTTTACCTTTTTACCATGAATCAAATTTGAAGATTTTTCAGCTGAATTTTTTTTCCTTTCGCTCCTCTTTTCTTTAGAGATTTTAGTTAAAATTATATTAGGCTCCTTAAGACTGCCATGTAACTCAAAGATACCAGTTTCTTTAAAAAATTATTTTTTCTCCTCCTGTTTTATTTTGGATAATTTATACTTCCTCAAGTCTCATCATTTTTTTCTTTCACAATATCTAATCTGCCTTAATAGGTTTAGTGTCTTTTCATTTAGATTTCTTTTTCCTTTTGCAGTACTGGAGACTGAATTCAAAGCTTCACATTTGTAAGGCAAGTGTTTTGCCATTGAGCTCTGTCTTCAATTCCATCCAGTGTCTTTCATCTCCTACATCTCCTACTGTCAAGTTTTCATTTCTTTTTTTTTAATTCATTTTTATTAGAAACACTGTGACTTACATTCATTAGACACAGTTGTTTCAAGCATTTAATGTTCCAGTACCACAAGTGTGACCTCCCCTCCAGCGTTTTTCATTTCTAAAGGTTTCATTTCGGTATTATTCAAATATGTTCATGTCCCTAACCTTTTAGATACATACAACTACCTTAAGGTCCTCACATGCTTATTTTAAATGTGTAAGTTATGGGGTCATAATTATGATTTGGCTGATCATTCTGAGTAATCATTCTGAGTAATATTTTCCTTTTTTTCTTTCCTATTATAATCCCACCCGCTGCCCCACCCCGACCCCCCCAGTGGAGAGCTGTACCCTATAGTGCTCAGGGGATGCTTGGGGGATCATTCCTGGTCACTCTGTGTTGCTTGGGGTGCCAGGGAGAGAATAGGGCCCGCACACGCAAAGCATACTCTCGGTTCGTCCAGCTCTCTGGCCCCTCCTACGACTTTTGATGCCAAGCACTGTGAATTTTTTATTTCATTTATTTTATTTATTTATTTAGATTTTTTTTATTAGTGAATCACTGTGAGGTACAGTTACAGACTTACAAACTTTCATGCTTGTGTTTCAGTCATGCAATGCTCGAGTGTCCATCCCTCCACCCGTGCCCATTCTCCACCACCAATGGTTCTGGTATCCCTCCCAACTCCCCACCCCATTCCCCACCCCACCCCCCAGCCCGCCTCTGTGGCAGGGCATTCCCTTCTGTTCTCCCTCTCCTTTTGGGTGTTGTGGTTTGCAATAGAGATATTGAGTGGCCATTGTGTTCGGACTATAGTCTACTTTCAGCCCACATCTCCTATCCCAAGCGAGTCCTCCAACCACACTTTACTTGGTGCTCCCGTCTCTATCTGAGCTGCCTTTCCCTCCAGTGTGAGGCCAGCTTCCCAGCCATGGAGCAAACCTCCTGGTCCTTATCTCTACCATTCTTGGGAAGCACTGTGACTTTTTCAAGTCTCCATAAATGGCAATGTTACCAAGTTATCCATAGATGGGCTTCAGGTGTACAATGTGCCAGACTCGCCCTCCCTTCCCCCACTGTCCCCAACTTTCCTTTCGCTCCCCCCCCAAACTCCCCACCCCAACCCCCAGTCTGCCTCAATGGCAGCAGTGTTTTCTTCTTTCCTCTTTTGCACTGTGGTTTACATACCATTACTGATAGGATATCAAGCATGGTGATTTTTACCTTTTTGGCTGCTGGATATATGTAGCACTGTAGCACTGTCCTCCCATTGTTGATCGATTTGCTTGAGCGGGCCCAGCACTGTCTCCGTTGTGTTTTGCATATCGAATACATCACGGGGAGCTTGCCAAGCTTTGCCATGCGGGTGAGATACTCTTGGTAGCTTGCCAGGCTCTCCAAGAGGTGGGGAGGAATCGAACTCAGGTCAGCCAAGTTGGCTGCGTGCAAGGCAAACGCCCTACTGCTGTGCTATCGCTCCAGCCTGGATATATGTATTTTTTGTAAATAATACTGATCTCCACCCCCCGCCATAGTCAGGGAAGTAGTTTAATCTTGGGATTTGGATTTTTTAAAAAATTTTGGTGAGGGGTTGGGGTGAGGGGCATTTTGCCATGATCAGGGGTCATGGCTCTGCACTCAGGGGTTACTCCTGGTGGGGCTCGGGGAACCGTGCGAGGTGATGGCAATTGAACCTGGGTTGGCAGAATGCAAGGCAAGTGCCCTATCCACTGTATTATCTCTCCAGCCTCTGGGGATTTTGCTTTGAAGATTCATTAGGCAGAAATGGAGTCAAATTCAAGCAGGATTAATCATCCTTCGGTGCTGAGGAATGCCTTCTCTACCTGTGTCCAGGGAGTCCTGCAATGATCTAGTCTGGCGGGGGGGGGGGGGGGGGGGGGGGGGGAGGGTCCTCTTCCCGGCCTGTGTGAACTGAATCACTGCTTAAGCATTTGGAACGATTATTTCCCTTACCTGGGGTAGTTTTCCTTACATGTATATGCTGACCAGTACTCAGTTGAAAAGCTTGAAGGGAGTCCTCTGCATACTTCTGGACTTTTCTTACTGTATAATTCTCTCTCTCTCTCTCTCTCTCTCTCTCTCTCATACTCTGTTTTGTGAACTAGGTATCTCATCCACTTTACCAGTAGATAAAGGTCTAAAGGTCTTTGTGGGAGAAAATATCAACATTACTGGCTTCAGCTGAGACTGGTCTCAGCCATGAGTATGGAAACAGTGTCAGAGACCATTATTAAGTGTCTTATTTGGCTGAAAGTCTGTAATTAAGAACCATCACTTCCAGGCTGGAGTGGGCAGGGTGCTTGCCTTGCTGTGGCAGACCTAAGATCGATCTCCCAGGCCCCACATTGTCCCTTGGATCCTGTCTGGGGTGATCCCTGAGTGCAGAGCTAGAAGCAAACCCTGAGCACCACTGGGTGTGACCCCAAAAATAAAGGTAGAAAGAAAGAAAGAACAGTCACTTTCTTGAAAAGAATTGTGAACTACGGATGATGCTTCTGAATACTCAGTATTCAGTGAACTAAATCCCTTCTTCCCGCCACATGTCATGTGTTGCCTAGGCCATGATTGTTGGTTGATGCAGGACAAACAGTGGTAGAGAGAGATGGAAACTTGATAGTGACAAAAAGTTAAGGACTTGTTAGGTCCTAAGCAACTTGATGACCCCATCTCTGCCATGGCTTCTGACTTCTAGCCGGGTCCCCTGTGCTTAAGCTCCCCAGCCCAGGATTCTGATTAACAGTTGGGTGGTACCTGGAGACGAACACAAGCCAGGTAACGGACAGCCTCTTTCTCACCCACAGGTGCTTTTTTCATCCCCTACCTCATCTTCCTCTTCACCTGTGGCATTCCCGTCTTCCTCCTGGAGACAGCACTGGGTCAGTACACCAGCCAGGGGGGCGTCACAGCCTGGAGGAAAATCTGCCCCATCTTTGAGGGTGAGTAGCACTGTGACAGATGCCAGGTTCTCGGCACTCGTGGTCACAGGTCTTATTTGGAATGATTGCGGGTGGGGGAAGGGAGTTCACAGAAGCGCTGAGTGAATCAAGACTCTGGGTCTTAAGATTAAACCCTTCACCGTGGGCCTAATGTTGGGATGATCATGCAAAAATGAAGGAGAGGGTATGGATGAGATTAAACAGGTAAAGTACAAAGTTATCGCACCTATATATGTTTTAAAATGTATAATAATCATTTTGTATTTTTCAAAACAGGTAATAATAAAATATCTTAAAAGAGGAGAAGATAATGCTACCTCCACCATCTTGACATAACAGTCATTTCAGATTTAGGGTGTTGCTTTTTGTTTTGTTTGGGGACTATTCCCAGCAGTGCTCAGAGGCCACTCCTGGCTTGGTGATCAAGGGTCATTCCTGGTGGTGGCACCAGGCTTCCTACATGCAAAGCACATGCTTCAGCCCACTGAATTCTCTGAACTATCTCTCTGTGCCAATTCAGGACGATTTATTTCAGTCTTCCTCCCTTGATGAAATACCTGATGGGATTTTCGCTTGTTTTTTATTTGGAAATAATTGCATAGTCACAGAAAATTGCAAATGCGTTTACTGTTGACCTAGTTGGCCCCAGTGTTGGCATTTCACACAACCACAGAACAGGACCAAAGCCTGAAACAGAGCATCGGTACTCTCCACAGGTCTATTCAGATTTCACCAGTTATCCGCACCCTCATTTGCATTTATGGGTGTCTCCCAAATCTCATCACTTTGTGGGTTTGTGTGACCACCACTGCATCAAGACTGTCTTGTCTTCACAAAGACCTTCCTCACGCCCTCTATCATTGCTCTTGCCCCACCCCTAACCTCTGGGAAGTCCCTACCCTGCTCTTGAGCACTGTTGTTTTTGAGAATATTAGATAAGGAAATCCAACCACAGGATTGAGAAGGACTTTGTTCATTTGTGGTTTGTTTTGTTTTGTTGGGGGCCACAACCAGTGGTGCTCAGGGCTTACTCCTGGCTCTGCACTCAGGGATCCCTCTGATGGGACTTGAGGGACCACATGAGATGGTAGGGATTGAAAGGCTGTATGCAAGTCACGTGCTCTGCCCACTGGACTATCACTCCATTCCAGAGGTGGCCTTTTTCACACAGTACACGAATCCATCCACATATATCCTGAATCAACAGTCTACTCCTTTTCATGAACAGCACTATTAGAGTCCCTCATACTCTCCACCCGTTGAAGAGTGCTGGAGCTGTTTTCCAGGCTAGAGGGTTTTATTCCATTATATTATTCTCTCTCTCTCTCTCTCTCTCTCTCTCTCTCTCTCTCTCTCTCTCGGCTACATCCAGCTTTGCTTAGGGATTACTCCTGATTCTGCACTCAGGGATCACTCTACATTGGGGGTGCTCAGGGGATCATATGGGGTGCTAAGGATGGAACCTGGGTCATTCTCATGTAAAGCAAGCACCCCACTGCTGTCCTATCTCTCAGGCCCATGCTACCCTCTCTTTATAGAGTTTACTTGTCACTAAAATGAAATACACACAGTTAGTGCTATCTTCCTTCCTTCCTTCCTTCCTTCCTTCCTTCCTTCCTTTCTTTTTTAAGTTTTTTGGGCCATACCTGGCAATGCTCAGGGCTTACTCCTGCCTCTATGCTCAGAAATGACTCTTGGCAGTGTTTGGGCTAGCACATAGGTTGATGGGGATTGAACCCAGATTGGCCGTGTACAAGGCCTTACCCACTGTACTATCTCTCCAGCTTATTATTTTCCTTTTTTTAAACCAACAATCTAATCTCATTCACTTACGTCAAGCAGATCCACCATGATTTACATAACACTTCTCTATTTGGAGTTTTTAAAGTTTCCATTACTTATAAAAAAACTTTCATATTCTGCTACCATATGTATTTGGTATGATTGACAGTGCCTGACTGTCCTCGCCGGGGCCCCTTGGAGGGGAGCGGGTTGAGCGGGTTGAGCGGGAGCACCCCGACCAGGGCTCCGGCAGCCGAAGACCTCCAGGACCAGCCACCACCATGCTGAGACCACTCTCCGCACACCTGAAGGTACCAGCAGAGGAACAAAGGCAAGCGGGTCCCGCCTAGGGCTGAGATCTCCAATCTCGGATTGGGGCTGAGTATCCTCCACCCAGATCCTCCGAATTCCAGTAGGTGGGGGTCACACCCACCAACTGGTCCCCTGGCGCCGTGTAATCCCATCAGTGGCCAAGACTCAGAGACTATAAAAACCAGCTCCCGGAACTGCGCGTCCGCATTTGTGGCTGTGCAACATCTTATTATGACATCTTATTATCTCATTCCTACTTTGGACAAACTGGCAGGCTACCGAATGTAACCTGCCCACATGGCAGAGTCTGGCAAACTCCCCGTGGCGTACCCAATATGCCAAATACCAGTAACAATGATGGGTCTCATTCTCCTAAAGAGCCTTGAATATAGCACTTTCTTAAAAATCTCAGGGCTAGGATGAAGGAGACGTTACTGGGGCCTGCTCGAGGCAATCGACGAATAACAGGATGGTCGTGATTCGTCGTGATGTATTTGTTAAGATAGAGAACCTTTCCCCACTTGGGAGTTATTATTTCTTTGCTACAAATTCTCAGGGTTAAGATCACTGAATCATAGGGCTGGAGAGATAATATCGAGGATAAGGTTGGCATGCAGTTGACCTGATTCACTTGCAGCATCTTCTATGGTCCCCTGGGAGCCTTCAGGAGTGATCCCTGAGAACAGCGGGGTGTATCACCCACCAAAATAAAATAAAATAAAAAGCATCCACTGGGAACTCTAATAATGGACAAGTTTGGAAGTCACCGAGTTGGAACACTGGGCGATGCAGAATGGCACCTCACGTTAGCTTCATTTCCTACACTACAGTTATGAGCGAGGATGAACACATCCGAAGTATAGTCTTCTGCGAATGGTCTCTTGGGGCTCTTCCCATGTGTTTTATAGTTCGGACCCATAGCAGACCAACTCCAGGGATCATTAACTGTTGGAATCTTGGCATGGGTCTTGCACATCTTAAAAATAACTTTGAATCACAGGACATTTGGAGCCTAGCAAAGATGAAAGGCCATGGAAGCTGGGGTTGCAGCCAAGCACTGGGGGGAAAGCCCCTCTCTCCTGCTGGGGCAGGGTAGCAACTCCAGGCATAGGGAGGAAGGACAGGCAGGAGCTGATGTCAGCACTGTTTGATTTAAGACCCTGATGCAGTCTGTGATCCACTTTTATTTTTAAATTTTATTTTATTTTTTCCAAAATATTATTATTACATTAAGCACCATTGTATTGTATTAAAGCAACACAGTTATTCATAGCTGGGTTTTTTTTTTTGACATATAATGTTCCATCACCAATCCCAGCACCAGTGTCAACTTCCCTCCACAGTGTTCCCAGATTCCCTCTATTAAGAGAGGGTATTAAGACCCTAATCCCCGGCCCCAGTCTTCCCTCTTCATAGGCACCCTTAAATTGGCTTATTAAAATTTGGGTCTCGCAATTTTAGTGTTGTTGACTCTGGGGTTTGGATATTCATCTCTGTCATTCCTTAACAACACCAATATACCTGGCTCTCCTTGGCCCCTGCCTCCACTGCTTCTTGCCTCTTTCTTCTCCCCTTCCTCTTCACTCTATTTCTTTCCGTCTCCTCCCTGTACTCTGGGCCAAGGGTGGTCTAGGCATCTCCCCCTTAAACCATTGCATTTCCTCATCCAGTGATTCTAAATATCTCGTGTCAGTGATATCAGCCTGTGCTTGTCTTCTTCTTCGGGCTGACTTCATTTAACACAATATCTTCCAATTCCATCCATGTTGCAGCAAATTGCATGATTTCATCATTCCTCTCAGCTGCGTGGTATTCCGTGTGTATATACCCCACATCTTCATGATCTACTGATCTGTTGTTGGACATCTAAGCTAATTCAAAATCTAATCGATGGCAGAGTGCTGCAATGAATAGTGATCTGCAGACGTCCTTTGGAAGGAGTGTTTTACCTGTCCTGGGGGGTAGATACCCAAAAGTGAAATTTCTGGGCATGACTTCACTTTTTTTTCATTTTTTTTGTTCGTTGGGTCACACCCGACGATGCACAGGGGTTACTCCTGGCTCTGCACTCAGGAATCACTCCTGGTGGTGCTCGGGGGACCATATGGGATGCTGGAAATCGAACCCAGGTCGGCCGGATGCAAGGCAAACGCCCTAACCGCTGTGCTATCACTCCAGCCCCATTACTCCACTTTTAAGTGTGAAGTTTAGCAGGTCAGAAAGCCGTGCATGGCGCCCAGCCCACTCTGCAGTTTCTCCCTGCAGGCATCGGCTATGCCTCCCAGGTCATCGTCATTCTCCTCAACATATACTACATCATTGTCCTGGCCTGGGCGCTCTTCTACCTCCTCAGCAGCTTCACCATCGACCTTCCATGGGGGAGCTGCCGCCACGACTGGAATACAGGTAAGTTCTTCTCTAAGGAGCCCGTGACCTCGCCATTAGCCCCGAGTGGGCATATCCCAACCCCCCAAACTGCGGGTCCCGAGCTGGGACACTCCTGAATTCTTCCAGGTAGCTCCTATATCAAAGATAAGAGCCGAAATCCAATGGAAAAGTAAAAACACCCCCCCCCCATCTGAGCCTCTGTACTTCCCTAAAGAAATACTTGGATTCAATTCCTAGATTATGAATTCATGCATTATGTAAGCAGAACTGCCTTCTTTTGAGGTACTTTAGCTAGTTTTTAATTTCCAGTTGACACAGCTAGTCTCACATGTGTTATTTGCGCAATTATTTGCTTCTCGTGATTTTCCCCCTGCTATTTTAGGTCTTTTCCACTTATAACTACCTGGAGTTAAGCAGGGAATAAGCGGTTTTAGATGGCATCAATATATTTGATGGCAGCGATTTATTTTCTCCTGGGTTTCTTTTTTGTTTTGTTTTGGCCACACACCTGGTGATGCTCAGGGATTACTCCTAGCTCTACACCCAGGGATCACTCCTGGTGGGACTTAGGGAACCGTATGGGTGCCTGGGATTGAACCTGGCTTGGCCACATGCAAAGCAAACGCCCTGCCTGCTGTGCTGTTGCTCCAGCCCCTCTCCTGGGTTTCGAAGGCAAGAGGAGCTACCAACAAAAGTAGAACTCCTGAACCTAAATGAGTCGGATGGAAGCCGAAAGCAGTGAGATACGGGCTCAGCGGGATCGTGAGGACAGACAGAAAAGGTGGCACAATACTGAGAAACTCTGAATCTAGCTCAGGGCTGGCTCCGCCAGAAGCATTCAAAACGACAGGTTGGTTTTTTAAATAAATAAATAAAATCGGGTGAGATAAACAGTTACAACGTTGTCCATGATTGGGTTTCAGTCATACAATGTTACAACACCCATCTCTTCAGCAATGTACATTTCCCACCACCAATATCCTTCCAACACACCCCCAGTCTGTCTCTATGGCAGACACCTCTCTCTCTCTCTCTCTCTCTCTCTCTCTCTCTCTCTCTCTCTCTCTCTCTCTCTCTCTCTCCCCCCCCTTTTGGATGGCAACTTTTAAAGCCTGCAATATCTTCTTTATGGTATATTTTTTCCTTCGCTCCTTCCCAACGAATTTTCTTACTTTCCTCCTTCCTCCCTCATTTTCCTTCTTTCCCTTTCACCTTCTTCCTCTTCCCTTCCATGACCCCTCCCTCCCTCCCTCCCTCCCTCCCTCTATCCCTCTTTCCCTTTTTCCCTCCCTCCCTCCATCCCTCCCTCCCTCCCTCCCTCCTTCCCTCCCTCCCTCTCTTCTTCCTCCCTCCCTCCCTCCCTCCCTCCCTCTCTTCCTTCCTTCCTTCCTTCCTTCCTTCCTTCCTTCCTTCCTTCCTTCTCTCCTTCTCTCCTTCCTGTGCTCTTAGACACTGCTATATTACTTCCCCGGAGGACAGTAATCTTAGTAATCTGCAAGGGTCGTGGCTTTATACAGAATGATTCCCTAGTATTATTTCTGTGTCTCTGGCTGATGCATGGTCTGTTGACTTCATGGTGCGTGAAAGTGATGCAAAAGCAGTAGAAAAGTCCCGCAGGGTGAGGAAGCTAGTTCAGGGGCCAGGGGTGCATCCTTGTATGCACGAGTCCCATCCCTGTTACTACAAAGCCCCATGAGCATCGAAGAGGGTAGCCCTGGTGGCCCCCAGCCTTGCTTGAACCGTCCTGCCCAGTTGGCTGCATTTCATAGCCAGTGGCCCCTGGCTCCTGAACTCTGCTTGGGAACCCTCCTCCTCCCTCTAGAAAAGTACTTTGACTTTTGAGTTTTGATCTGCTCTTGGTTCATGGTCCGCGGTACGGCGCCTCTCCTGATGCTGGGAGGAGGGGGACACGCAGCTTCTGGCAGGTTCTATAGGCTTTTCTGCATTCAATCCAGTGTCCAGTCCACATGAGCTCGTCAAAACTTTATGATAGGGGAGGCTTTGGGAGGGATGGTTGAGCTGAGCAGGGACTGGCCTAGCAAGCACACTTAGCTTTATTCACTAGAATAGACTTCAGGGTTTTGGGTTTAGGATGCTTTTGTCAGACATAGCCCCACGTAATATCAAGAGAGACCTGTACCTTTGTTTTTGTTTCTTTTTTTTTTTGGTGGGGAGGGAAGGGAGGTTGGGCCACACCCAATGGTTTTGTGGGGCTATTCCTGGCTCTGTTCTCGGGAGTGACCCCTGGTGGTATTCTGGGAACCATTTGTGATGCTGGGGATTTCAACCAGGGTCAACCACACAAAAGACAATTAATTGCCCTACCCACTATATCTCTCTGGCCCAAGGAAGCTCTGTACTCTAAAGCAGAAAGCAAGTTAAATCTCTTTCTAAGAGCATGTGATCATGCCCTCGTAAGAATCTGCATCCCAGGCCAGAACCATAGTACAGTGGGTCAGGTGCTTGCTTCACACGTGGCTGACTTGAGTTCTAGCCCAGGCATTCCTTATGGTCCCCTGAGCACCATCAGGAGTGATAATTGAGTGCAGAGCCAGGAGTAACCCCAAAGCCAAAAGCATTGCCAGGTGTGGCCCAAAAGCCAAAAGGAAAAAAAGAACGTGCATCAGAGTCAGAGCAAGAGTACAATGGGTAGGGTGCTTGCCTTGCTTGTGGCTGATCTGGATTCAAGCTCCAACACCCCAGGTGGTCCTCCAAGCATCAGCAGGATTAATCTCTGATTCAGAGCCCTGTATCCAAACAGTTTCCAAACCTACTTAGGGGTGTGGGGGTGGGGAGGGAGCTTGCCGGGGTCATTGTGGGGTGTGTTGGGAGCACAAACTTCCTTCCAGATGTCTCTCAACCTAGTTTCACCCCATTCTCGGGCAGGCTGGGGTTGGCTAACGATCTCCCTCTGTCTCCCTGTCATGGGGCCTGTGGCCAGAACACTGTGTGGAGTTCCAGAGGACCAATGGCTCCTTGAACGTGACGTCAGAGAATGCCACCTCGCCTGTCATTGAGTTCTGGGAGTAAGTGAGGCCCCGGCCTGGGCTCTGTGTTGGCAAGAAGGACGCAGGGGCCGCATGGACACAGTTTGGCTTCTCAACGGAGAGGCAGGAGAGAATTTGGTTTCCTTCTCTGGTGGGGGTAGGGGGTGGGCCTTAGACATCCAAGAGGGTACTTTTCCTGTTGTGTCTGCATTTGTGGTTACCATAGAACTGGTTTCCGAGATAAGCGTTTCACAACTCATCTCAGCCTGTGTCTGGCCTTCCTTCTCCAAGTCACCAGCCCCTGGGGGAGACCCACACGCCTAACGGTCCCCCCTCTCCCCAGCTGCTGGGCCGAGCCTCCCGTTTGCTGCTCCCCAGACAGTGAGACTCATTTAGAAAGTGCTCCCTCGGGGGCTGGAGTGATAGCACAGCCGGTAGGGCATTTGCCTTACATGCGGCCGACCCGGATTTGATTCCCAGCATCCCATGTGGTCCCCTGAGCACCGCCAGGAGTAATTCCTGAGTGCAGAGCCAGGAGTAACCCCTGTGCATCACCGGGTGTGACCCAAAAAGAAAAAAAAAAAAAAGAAAGAAAATGCTCCCTCGTCTTGAAGCCTCTAGAAGTTGCATGGTGTTTGCGCCTTGACCTCCCCGAGCCTCGTCTCTGGGGAAGGGCTTATGTTTGCTTCCTTCAAACCACCCCCACCTCCGGGAGAGCCAGTGAGAGCCTCCGGGATGGGAGAGCAAGAGGGCTGACCAGTCTCTGGACAGGAGCCCAAGGCCTGGCTCTGCTGCTTGAGCCATGCCGGCCACCCGGGGAGGTCGGCACGAGTGGAGCTGGGCTCACCTTCTCTCCCCAGGAGGCGGGTCCTGAAGATCTCTGCGGGTATCCAGCACCTGGGGAGCCTGCGCTGGGAGCTGGTGCTATGCCTCCTGCTGGCCTGGATTCTCTGCTACTTCTGCATCTGGAAGGGGGTCAAGTCCACGGGCAAGGTCCGAGAGGGAGTGTTTCGGCTCCGCCCAGCCCGGGGTGCCCTGCTCTCTCTCGTCTGTGTGCGCATGTACAGTGTGTGTGCCTGGGGACTCACTGTACACTGTGGGCCCCCCCAGAATCGCCCACGTTGTATCTGAGCTAGTTACAAAGAATAGAAAAGGACCTCAGAAGAAACACGGGGGCTTCTTTCTTGCTGTCCTATGTATGCCTGGTGTTTGGGGGAAATTAAAATAAGTAGGATGGAGGGGGTGAGGGAAGAAGAGAAGGGGGGAGGAGAGGAAAGAGAAAACACTAGAACGCTTCTGGAGAAATCTGCTCTTGGAATGTACACCAGGTGTGAGCAGTTCTGAAAGACCTAGGATATTAAGTCAATCCAATTTCATAGACGAGGTCTTTGAAAGAAGGGTTTTGAAAGAAGTCCACATAGTTCAAAATGATTGTCCTCCGATCTGAGAAGTTAGGGGGTACTGGAGAGTGTGTGAGGGGCTGGGGAGATGGTATAGTGGGTCAGGCACTTGCCTTGTTTGCAGCCGACCCGGGTTCCATCCCTGAGTACCACCGGAGTGATCCCTGAGTACAAAGCCAGGAGTAAGCCCTGAGCAACACTGACTGTGCCCCCCCCCCCAAACAAAGAAACTAAAAAGAGGTGTCCGAGGTGCTGGGGCCAGAGGGATAATACAGGGTTTAAGCCACTTTGCCGTGCACATGGCTGCCTTCAACTTGATTCCCGGCACACACATGGCCCCCGGAGCACCACTCGAAGTGAACCCTGAGCACAGAGCCAGGACTAAGCCCTGAACACTGCCAGATGTGCCCCCCGCCCCAAAACCAACTACAGAGAATTAAAATGTAAAAGTAGAAAACAAAATTAGAAACGTATGAGGTGTGCCAGAACTTGCTGCACCCTGGAGACTCGTACCGAGGAGTCCTGTGACACGGCTCCGTCTCACCTGGCACTGAGGTTTAGCTAAGCCCGGGGCCCCGTGAGGGCAGGGACTGCGCGTGGCCACCTCGCCAGAAGTTCCCGCACTGCTGGTGTGGCTGCTTAAGCTCGGTCAGCTACTCGACAGATAGCTCAGGGGTCTGGTGCTTGTTTTGTTTGTGGGGCTCCCAGAGGTACTCAGGGCTTCCTCCTGCTCTGAGCTCAGGAATGACGCCTGGTGGAGCTTGCAGGACCCTCTGCGGCGCCAGGGACAGAGCCTGGGCCGGTTGCATGCCGGGCAAGTGCCTTGGCCTCTGCACTGTCTCTCCAGCTCGCTCGCTGTGGGGTCCACAGGGGTTGGCCAGGGCCGTGTCCTGAAAGGAGAGGGTGCTACTGCAGAGGGAAGAAGGAAGCGCACGCCGGGGGGAGGCGGCCCCCAGTCCCCTGCGGGGTGGGAGTGCCAGCTTCCCAACTCTCCCCTCATCTCTCCTCTGCCCCCATCCAGGTGGTTTACTTCACGGCCACGTTTCCTTACCTCATGCTAGTGGTCCTGTTGATCCGGGGGGTGACGTTGCCCGGGGCAGCCCAAGGAATCCAGTTTTACCTGTACCCCAACCTCACGCGCCTGTGGGACCCCCAGGTAAGAAGCCGAATGCAAGGGTCTGCTCACTCTGCCTGGAGAGCCCTGCTCCGGGAAGGCTTTCCTGGGGGACGGGTCTCCCGACGGCCATTCTCAGCTGCCCGTGATCCCCGCTTGGCTCTATGGCTGCAGGAGAGGGGACTTCTGGCCACGGCGACATTCCTCCTGGGCTGCAAGGACGTGATAAAGGCCTTCCTCGGGCCTGGGTCCCCTCCTCCGCGCTCTCCACCCTAGCCCTTTGGGCATGTGTTTGCTCTTGTATCAGATGAGGCTTCTCTCTCTCTCTCTCTCTCTCTCTCTCTCTCTCTCTCTCTCTCTCTCTCTCTCTCTGTATGTGTGTGTGTCTGCCTGTCTCTGTCTCTGTGTGAGTGTGAGTGTGTATGTATGTGTGTGCGTGATTGTCTCTCTCCCTTTCTTCTTTTTGGGTCACACCCAGCAGTGCTCCGGGTTTAACCCTAGCTCCATGTTCAGGGAGGACTCCTGGCGGGACTCAGGGGACCCATATGGGGTGCTGGAGATCGAACCCAGACTGGACATGTGTAAGGCAAGCACCCTGCCCGCTGTGCTATCACCCTAGCTCCCCTCTATATCGTCCCCTCCACCAGCCCCCTCTGACCCTTCCTTCCAACCCTGTGGCCTAGTCCTGGCCTCAGGGCCCAGCCTCTGCTGTTGAGTTTTCTGTCTTGTCCAGAGGTCCTGGTTGATTGGAGCAGGGAAGGGGAGGCATCTCTTGCTGACCAGTGGGCTTCTTGGGAAGGACCTAAAGTAAGAGGCCACCTCTGCCCGTACGCCAGCTCCAGCTTGGCAGCCCTTTTGAAAGCTGCCAAAGTCCGAACAAGTGGCGGCCACAGAGACCATGGGTAGGCGCCACGCCAGGACCCTGAGAACAGTACCCAGCCGCATGCTCTGCCTGCCCCAAACTCATCTCCCCGGGAGTGCTGAGCCCAATTGAGAGCTGGCACCTTGGCGCTGCGTGGAGGAAGGGGCCTCCAGGAGAGAGCACGTGAGGATCCATGCGGGGAAGGCTCGAGACCGGATGCCTCGTCAAACATTTCCTTTCTCTTTGGGTTTTGGGGCCACGCCTGGCAGCTCAGGGGTCACTCCTGGAGATGCCAGAGAGATTGAACTGGGGTCAGCAGTGTGCTAGGCGAGGCAAGCACTCTAACCCCGGATCATCTCTCCTGCCCCCAGCACTTAAAAATATGTCCCTCTGGGGCCGGGGTGACAGCAAAGCAGGTAGGGCAGGCCAGTTTGATCCCAGCTCCTCACACAGTCCCCTGAGGCCCCACCAGGAGCGACCCCTGAGTGCAGAGGCAGGAGTAAGCCCTGAACACTGCCAGGGGTGGCTCCCAAGTAAACAAACAATGCCTGGACCTTGTGGGGGGGATGTCCTGGGGGCAGAGAAGAGGGAGCGAAACTCTCTCCCCTGGGAGAGCAGCACAGAGGCAATAGCTCCCCTTGCGCAGGGTCTGGGCTGACCCCAAAGCTGACTCGGCCTGCTCACCCCTGGCTCTGCGCACCCTGCGTGCTGCTTCCAGCCCCCTCCGAGGAGCTGTGCAGATAGCCTGGCCCTCTGGGATGGCTCCAACATCCCCAGGCCTGAGAGAGATGCAGGCCGCTGCCACCCCACTCTGCCCTGGAGGCAGCTATCAGGCTGTGGAGCCAAACAGAGCCACAAACCAGAGGAACTCGAAGCTGGCGCCACCCACTGTGAGCAGAGCGGGGCATCAGGGCAAGCTAAGCCAAGTGTCTTTCTTTTTTTTTTTCTGTTCTGTGAACAGAATGTTCTTTGGCTTCTCTGGGATCAAAGAGCTGTGGTGTGAGCAGGTAGCACGCATGAGGTGGCGCGGGGCAGCGGAATTGAGGAGGCTTTGAAAGCCAGTGGAGAGTCTAGATGGTTCCCTCAGTGGGAGAGGGCAGCCTGGGGCTCGAGCCAGGGTGGAAGTTGGCCCGTGTGGGCAGATCAGGCTGGGAGAGGAGCAGGGGAGGGGGCGATGGAGAGCGGCAGGAGCGTCTCTGGAAGAGACCTGGAAGAGACCGAGGGCGCCTCTGGTCAATCCTGGCTTGTCCTCTTCTTCTTCTTTCTCTTTTTTTTCTTTTTTGGGTCACATTTGGCGATGCACAGGGGTTACCCCTGGCTTTGCACTCAGGAATTACTCCTGGGGATGCTCGGGGGACCATGTGGGATGCTGGGAATCACACCGGGGTCCTCCGTGTGCAAGGTAAACGCCCTCCCCGCTGTGCTATCGCTCCAGCCCCAATCCTGGCTTGTCTTAACCAGCTAATAAGTAGTGCGTAGTTGTTATGTCCCTGGTGTTGTTTCTCCCAACCCGTAGTCTCAGCAGAGCAATCAGCAACGTGTCCCCATACATAGGTGAGGGAAAGATGGATAGAGCTTGGAGAACTTTCCATCTTCACTGGAGGTCCAGGTGGGAGGGAGAGGATCATGGGCACTTCAGGGGTGTGGTGGTGTAGCTTTGCACGCCGATACCGCACACTCTCACATGACTGTCCCCATGGTCTCTCAGCTCGAATAAAAATTAATGCACAAAAGCCCTTATTTGGTTTGGGGGGTACACCTGTTGGTGTCCAGAGCTTCCCCCTGACTCTGTGTTCAGGGATCACTTCCAGTGGTGCTTGGGGAACCGTGTGTGGTACCAGGGATTGAGCCGGGGTCAGCCGTGTGCAAGGCCTTACCCCTGTGCTGTCTCTCCTGCCCCAGAGGAAAAAGAAATTGTTGTTGCAAGGCTCAGGGCTTACTCCTGCCTCTGCACTCAGTGATCACTCCTGGAGGTGCTCAGGGGCCATATGGGATGCCGGGGACTGAATCCAGTAGGCAGCGTGCAAGGCAAGAGCCTTGCTCCAGACCCAAAAACCATTTTTAAAGAATTCTCCATCTTCACACGTGCATCTTGGAAAGCGGGATTGAATGACAGTGACACATCCCACGTTCTAGATGAGGTCTTGAAAGCCAAGCCTCTCTCTTCTCACATTTGTTGTTTATTTTATGGCCAGTGGTAAGCCCTGAGCACTAGCAGGTGTGGCCCCCAGACCAAAATAATGTTTTTCTTGTACTTATTGAGGATCCAGGAGATGCTTAAAGAGCAGGAGCATGGGCTTTGCACGTCGGAGACCCGGATTTGACTCCTTGCACCCCACAGTCCCCTGAGCACTGCTGGCAGAATCCCCAAACACGGAGCTACAAGTCGCCTCTGAGCACTGCTGAGTGTAGCTCAGAAGCAACTTGTTGAGCAACTGCTCCGTGCCCAGGCTGGCGCCAGTGCAGAGTTTGTTCAATGACAGTCTCCAGCAAATATGAAGAGAGCGGATCAGATAGCCTACACCTGCGAGTGTTAATGGGCCATAGTCCTGAGCCTGGGTAGTCACTGCAGGGAGTGACTCCAGGAGACTGTCTGTCCACCTGCCCGCTGTGGGCTCTGCAGGGAGCAGGAGTCTTCCCAGTGTTCCAGTGTCCCCCAGAGGGAGTTGTTTGGAGAGCCAGGCTTGGGCCTGGGCTTCTGAGCTGCCTTTTTTTTTTTCAGCTGCCTGCAGCTGCAGCAGAAGCTGGGCCTTTGTTGTCAAAGAACAGGGCAGTCGCCCGCAGGGGGCCTGACTGAATGTAGCTGATGCTCCCCAGGGAGTGTCATCCTGCCCAGCTGGCATTCTCCTGGTGCCTCAGAGAGGTGCAAAGCTGCTGCTGGCCCATACCCCACACCCACACCCTCCTTCTCTGCCAAGTCCCGGGCTGGGAGTGGCAGACACAAGGACACAACGCTGTGTGCCCATGCTGCGTGCTCCTCTCACCCTGGGATGGGGGCGGGGTGGGGTCCCAGGGCTCATTTGTTTCCCATGGGGACAGACCCCGGGATACTTAGGACCCCAGGGATGTGGTGGGGACAGCTGCATGTCCTCTGTCTGGCCTCTTATTTCTTGTCCTTGCCCTGACCCTTTGCTCAACCCAACTCTGACAGGCCTATCAGAGGAGGAGGACGGAGGCAGGGGCGTTTGAAGGCTTTTGGAACCTTTAAATGTCTATGATGAGCTATTTGGGGAAGAGGTTGGGGATATTGATGGACCTGAGTCTTGTTTTGGTGGCTTTTCAGGAGTGTTGGGCTTCCAAGCAATGCCCAGGAGGAGGTCCAGGGGCCTTCTTGGCGATACTTGGCCAACTAGGCCAATAATGCAAAGGCCCAAGGATGCAGCATTGCTTGGGCACTCGGGGCTGGGGTCACACCAGGGGTTCTTGGGGGCCCCCAGGGCTGCACCTAACCACAATTGATTGCATGTCATTTAAGCACCTTAGCTATGATACTGTCTCTCCAGCTCCTAGAAGGAGTCTTTTCATTTTTGTATCATACACTGAAATCTGGTTCCAGTCCTTACTGCTGAAAGGCAGTTTGCTTTGGTCTATTCCGGGCTCAGTGCTTGGGGGTTGCTCCCGCGGGATGTTGCTGTACTAGAGGGAGAACCCAGAGTCCCTGCACATGAAGCACATGCTCCAGCTCCCAGAGCTAGTTCCTTGAGTCCAGAACTTGCTTTTTAAAAATAATGCAACAGAGGCCGGAGCGATATCACAGTGGGGAGGGTGTTTGCCTTGCAGGTGGCCTACGCAGGTTTGTTCCCTGGCCTCCCATATATGGTACCGTAGCGCATATATGGTACCGTAGTGATCTCTGAGTGCAGAGCCATGAGTAACCCCTGAGCATCACCAGGTGTGCCCCCCAAAACATATATATTTCTTATATATATATGAAATGCAACAAGTGGATGCAACACTCACACAGTTATTTTGAGTCCTTTGCCAGGCAAGTTACCAAGGGCATGCATAACCAGCGGAATCCTCACCTGGCCCCTGTCAATTAGGGAGTTAGCTTTATTTTGTAGGCTGAGAAATAGAATCTTAGAAAACTTAAGAAAAGTGCTTCAAACCACACAACTAGCATGTGAGGAAACTTGGATTTTAGCCCAAGTAGCTTTTGGATTCTGCTCCCGGAGTCCCAATATATAGACATTTCCCAAAGAATGCAAATTATTTGAGAGTGTTAGGAACTGCTTTTTATAATATTCTAGAATCATCCCAGAAGGGGCCGGGTGACTTGCCTAAGATCACACAGCTACTCACCAGCAGAGTTAGGAATTGGACCCAAGTCAGCTGGACCCCAGACCCCAGGCTCTTCCATGACACACGTTTGTCCTCCTACCCATGGGAAGTACTCATGCTTCTTGGGGTTGCACTCTACCCTGAAAACATCTTGCTTCGGGGGTCCTTCCTTTTCCTCCATTCCCCACCCTGAGGTCTCTTTTCCGCCCATACCCCTTGAAGTTGTGTACGTTTGTTTTGCTTGTGGTTAATCTTCTGTCTCCGCCAAAGATACACGGGACCTTTGTTCCAGAAACCGCAGCTCCTGAAGGGGCCGAGAACGCGCTGCCCTGGAGGGAACGCACAGCGTGCTCTTCCTCCTCCAGCCCCTCTGCCCCGCCCCACACCCCATCCCAGCAGGCCCCTCAGGTGGCAGCTGTTCAGGGAACTGGCCTGCCGAGCCCTCCGCGAGGAGCTTTGGTCAGAGAGGCTACCATGGCCCCTGGCCCTGCGTCTCAGCCCTGCTGCCGGCTTCCCTCTGCTCTCCTGGATCCTCTGCCCATCTCGGTCTTCGCCTCCCCCTCGGCCAGGGAATCGGCCAAGTCACGCTTTTTCTGATCGTTGCTACCCAAGCCCAAGTTCATGGAACTCTGTGGGCATCTTTGTGGGTCCCTGACAGTTTCTCTGGTCACTGTGGGTCAGGCTGTACCCTGCACACTGCAGGACCACGGCCCAGATGCACACAGGTTCTCACTGTTGCCTCCGTAACAGCCAGGAAGAGACCGCCACCCCCCACCCCCACCCCAACCTGTTTCCTGGAGGAATGCAGGAAGCCCCACATTTCGGGGCGAGGTCCCCGTCCAAGCAGCTCCCAGGCTGCTGGCCCTGTTCTCAGAGCAGCAAATTCACCCATGAGCGAGGAGGCTGAGAGAGCAGAAAGTGGCCCTGAGGCTAAGGTCACTGGAGAGGACAATCTCCCACTATCAGTACGCCAAAGGACTGGAAAAGAAAATGGAACTTTCGTTTATTTGATTTTTTGTTTTGTTTCGGGGCCACAGCCAGTGATGCTCAGAGCTCATGCCTGGTGCTGTACTGGAGGGGGGTTGAGCACTTCTGGTGGGCTTGGGGGACCACATGGGCTGCTGGAGATTGAACCCAGCTTGGCCACATGCAAGGCAAGCGCCCCACCTGCTGGACTGTATATCTCCAACCCAGAATAATCTTTTTTTTTTTCTTTTTGGACCACGTTTGGTGGTGCTCAGGGTTTACCCCTGGCTCCACACTCAGGGATCACACCTGGCAGGACTTGGAGGACCATAGGGGGTGCCAGGAACTGAGCCTGAATCAGCTATGTGCAAGGCAAGCATACTACCTGCCGTCCCAATTCTTCGGCCCCAGGATGGTGGCTAGGTGTGTAGTGTAAAGTGTGTTACTGGTTTGTTCTGTTTTTAATAATCCTGACGATTTCAGTAGTGATTTCATGAGCTTTAATATTTGCTAGGTTTTCTTTGACTTATAAGGCATTCCCAGATATGGAATATCTTTTTTTGCCTTTTGGGTCACACCCAGCGATGCTCAGGGGTTCCTCCTGGCTCTGCACTCAGAAATTAGCGGTGCTCAGGGGACCATATGGGATGCTGGCAATCGAACCTGGGTCAGCCATGCGCAAGGCAAACACCCTCCCCACTATACTATCACTCCAGCCCCCCCCCCCCATATGGAATATCTTGAAGGAGAAAAAGGATTGCCCAAGGCCTCTCTCTGGTGCAACCTTGGGTGCAATTTCCTTGCTGGCCTGCCTCATGGGGACATTCCTGTGACCCTTTGCTCTGATCTCTCCCTGCTGGTGACTCTGCCTTGGCAAAATCTTTGGGGAGGGGATTCACCGTGAGCCGAAGAGCCACGCAGCTAGAGACAGTCTCCCCCTTTTTGTTCATCATTTCCCCCTCATGCCTGCTGAAGCAGAAGCTGAAATGGAGTGTGTCCCCACACTGGATGAGTCCCTGATGCCGAGTTCTGTCATGCGCACCCCAACAGTGTCACGGGCAGAGCATCAGAGAGAACACAGAGCTCAAGGCCAGAGATGGGCGGGGGGTGGGTGGGGGCTGATATCCATGAAAGGAGAGCAGGGGCTTGTGCAAAGGACAAAGGACAGAGAACACAGCAGTGCTAGGCCACCTGCTTGGTGACGTCCATGTTCAGAGCTAGAGGATCCTCGTGGTGCTCACGTCCTCTGCAGGCAGGGGTGCCGGGAGGGTCAGTCGCCTTGGGACCCCACCTCCCATCGCCCTGCTGGATGGCCTCACTCCGGTTCGCCTTGATGTTCCTTCTCGAGGGGCTGTTATTCTAGCTGGGAGAGCTGAATCACAACAGGGAGGCTGGGCCAGCCAGCTGAGATAATAACAGCCCCTCCATCCCCTGTGTTCAGTGGGAGAGCCACTCCGCATCTCCCCACCCCCCCGAGGAGTACAAAGCCCGTCACACACTCGCGTCTCTGGCCTGCTGCTGAGCTGCGGGTCTGCTTCCTGTTTTGCAGACGTGGGGGAAGCCACAGGGCTGGAGCTCCATGCTTCCAGGGCGTCAAGAGAAGGGTCCCTTCTCAGAGAGCTGTGTCTGGGTCCCTTCCCCACGGCGTCCCGGGCCGTGTTTCCAGTAGAGAAAGGTGCTGTCAAAGTGGCACACAGTGGGGCTGGATCGACAGCGCAGCGGGTAGGGCCGACCCGGCCTCGCACACGGCTGACCCGGGTTCGATTCCCAGCATCCCGTATGGTCCCCTGAGCACCGCCAGGAGTAATTCCTGAGCGCAGAGCCAGGAGTAACCCCTGAGCATCGCTGAGTGTGACCCAAAAAAGAAAAAAAAGTGGCACTTGGCTCTGGGGTGCCCCCTCCCTCACAGAGCCTGTAGGCGCCGACCCAGAACCTCGAATGCCTGTAGCACACGGCCCTGGCCCCGCCATGTCTCCTTGAGACCACCGGCTGGGTGTCCCTGGGGTGCAGCTTTCTGCTCTCTGCCCTGTGTAGGTGTGGATGGACGCGGGCACCCAGATCTTCTTCTCCTTTGCCATCTGTCTCGGGTGCCTCACGGCCCTGGGCAGCTACAACAAGTACCACAACAACTGCTACAGGTGACTGGGCGCGGGTCTGAGCTTCAGCTGCCTTCCCCGCTGTTCCTCCAGCTCCGCTAGGCCGCTCGTGACGGGGAGGGTGCCCCGGCCCCGGAGATTTCCCCACCCCACCGCCTTGTCTTCACCCTGTTTTCCAATACCCCTGGGCTTCCCGAGCACGGAGAGGAGCCCCCCACAGCAGGAAGTTGTGTTTGGCGGGCAAAGCTCTTTTGCTAAGGGCTGGCCCCACTGGCTCACCTCAAAGCCGGGGCCCCAGGGACCCCACCTTCTGGCTTCCTGCTTTTTCATTTTTTGTCCCAGGAAGCACAACCTTGACGGGGTCTCGGTGCCTTGCAGAACTGAAGCTCGTGCCTCCTATGAGCTGAAAGCAGCCCTGGCCGCCACTTGAAAACCAAATTTAGAGGATTCCACAGTGCCTGCTGCTGGGGAGTTTCCCTGAGCTCCTCCACTGCCCGGTGGAATGGGGTCCAGATGGCAGAGCCCCAGGCTGAGTGTGGCCGGGATGCTGGGGGCAGCAGGACAGGCTCACGGGCAGTCTGTCGAGTTGAGAGTCACGGTTTCCATTTTCTTGGATTTGGGGGCCCCATCCGGCAGAGCTCAGGGTTTCCTCCTGCATCTGCGCTCAGAGATCCCTCCTGGTGGGGCTCACAGAGCCAGTGGGGTGCTGGGGATGGAACCTGGTTGGCCCCGTGCAAGGCGAGAGCCCTTCCCGCTGTGTTATCACTCCAGCCTAACAGTCATGTTTTCTTTTTTTTTGGGGGGGAGGGTCTCATTAACTTTATTTTTGGGGAGGGAGAGAAAGAGGAGCCCACACCTGGTGGTACTCAGGATCTTTTGGGGGACCATGTGGTGCCAGGAATCAAGCCTGGGCCTCCTGCATGCAAAGCTTGTGCACTAGGTCCATGTGCCTGGTCCAGAGCCTCGTGCTCTGTGGATGGATGGAGCAGTCCCACCCTTTGAAGGTGCTTTGTTCTGTCAGCTCTGCTGCCTGTTTGTGGGCGGGGCTGAGCTCCCTGAGGGTCAGAGAGACGGGTGGCCCCTTTCTGATCCTCCTCTTCCCACCCCTTCCGCAGGGACTGCATGGCCCTCTGCTTCCTCAACAGCGGCACCAGCTTTGTGGCCGGCTTTGCCATCTTCTCCATCCTGGGCTTCATGTCTCGGGAGCAGGGGGTGCCCATCTCTGAGGTGGCCGAGTCAGGTGGGTGCTCTGGGAGGAGGCGCAGGCAGGCAGGGGCTTCTGGATGCCCTGCGGGAACCGGCACTCACCAGATGGTCCTATTGTCACCCCCACCACGGCTGAGCTGTGGTCCCCTGTCCACGTGCCCTGTCCTGGGAAGGAGTGTCCAGGGGGGACTGAGCACTTCCCTACGTGCCCTGGGCTTCCAGCTCTTCCTCAGCCTGGAGGCAACAAAGAGTGACGGCTCAGGCCTCTCCTTTCAGGAAAAGTTCTTGGGGATGGAGAGACAATACAGTGAGATAATACATGCGCCTTGCATGTGGCGGATCTGGGTTCGATCCCTGGCACCTCCCAGCACAGCCGGGACTGACCCCCGAGCGCAGAGGAGTAAGCCCCAAGCATAGGCAGGCGTGGCTCAAACACCAGTGCGATAAGGTCACATATGAAGAGACATACACGTGCACGCGAACCTGCACACACGCCGTGACTCCCTCTCGTTCCTTTGTAAGACAGAATTGTTGCTCTGCTATGTACACCCTTGCCTCGTTTTATTCATGTTGTTTACTTATTTTCTTTTTTAAAAGTCAATTTTTCTCTTTTCCGATCTTTTAACTACACCTGGCATTACCCAGGGGTTACCCTCAGCGAGGGGGTCACTCTGACATCAGGGGATGGCGCAATGCTGGGAACAGACCCTCAGCCTCTCACATGCAGAGTGTGTGCTCAGCCCGTTGAGCCACCTCTTTGGCCCCTGTTTCATTTGCTGTGGAAAGTGTGTCTTAGGGACCAGAGGTGGTACAAGTGGTTAGGGCTCCCACCTCTCACGCACTCAGCCTTGGCACCACCTGGCCCCTCAAACGTTGCTGGGTGACCTCGGTATCCCCAGGAGTGCAGGGCCCTAGGAGCACTGCATTCTTGGGCATTTGCATGAAATGCACAGTCCAGTTGGCTGAGCACTGCCGGCGGGACCCTCAGACCTCCTGAGCACTCCTTGGGAAGTCCCCTCCCCCTAAAATGAAGTACAGTTCAGTGATCAGTTTCTGTGAACCTGTGGAGTCCCCCCCCCCTTTTTTTATTGTAGATTTGAGCCGCACCCTGGAGTGCTCAGGGATTCTGGTTCTGTGCTCACAGGTCACCCCTGGGCATACTCAGGGGACGATAGGTGATCCTGGGGTTCAAGTCAGTGTTGGCTGTGTGCCAGGCAAGCATCTCCAGCCATGGACTATGTCTCTGGGCTAGTTTCCCTGCACGGGCACCGTCTTTCCCCCTGCGGGCAAGGTGGGCACACCTACCTGTGCTCAGAGCTTACTCCTGGCTTTGTGCTCAGGGGGCCCTGTGCGGTGCCAGGGATGGAACCTGGGTCAGCACTACATAAGGCAAGTGCCTCATCCATGTATTATCTCCGCGGTCGTTCCCATCGCTGAGTCTTTAGGCGTTTGAAGCCTCCGGTTTGGGCCAATAGATCCGGACAGTGAGACCTGAGGGTGCGGTGGAACTCACCAGCATGCAGAGAGCGGCCGACTTCCCTGTCCCAGAGTTCTTTATCCCCGTGGCCTCTAAGTGCCGTCGCTGCCACTGAGTGTACAGGGGCTGGTGTCCTGGGAATCTGGGCGCCAGGTGGCGATTTGGGTGAGGCCGGCAGTGACCGTGGTGACGCGGGGTGAAGTCTCCCCCAGCTCCGGTGCCTCGGTGACCTGGCAGCTGGCCAGGACATGCCGTGTGCCCTCTGCCCTCGCGTAGGCCCTGGCCTGGCTTTCATCGCCTACCCCCGGGCCGTGGTGATGCTGCCCTTCTCTCCGTTCTGGGCCTGCTGCTTCTTCTTCATGGTCGTCCTCCTGGGACTGGACAGTCAGGTATGGGGGAGAGCGTGGGGCACGCGAGAGCTGGGGAGAGCCTTGAGTTCACACCCCAGGGCCCCTCAGGCGATCGGCGATCTGGTGGCGATAGAAAGCTCCGTTCCTGGCTGGGGGGCTGGGGCAGATCTCACTCGCAAGGGGGCGGGGACCCGGGGGGAAGGGAAGTGGCCTGGCTGGCGGCAGGACTCATCTGGGGTGCTCGCACCCAGTTTGTGTGTGTCGAGAGTCTGGTGACGGCGCTGGTGGACATGTATCCCCGCGTGTTCCGCAAGAAGAACCGGCGGGAGCTGCTCATCCTGGGCGTGTCGGTCGTCTCCTTCCTCCTGGGGCTCATCATGCTCACAGAGGTGAGGGGCACGGGGACACCTTGCCCCGACCCCTGGCAAGCACCTGTCCCTGGCCTACGGTGCTGCCTCCCTCCCCGGGGAGGTGGGGAGAGCATCTGGACCCCCTGGCAAGACGGGATGTGGCCGCCTGGTGGGCCGGAAGCCTTGGATTAGGAAAGATGGCAGAGGCCCAAGCTGCAGGGAGCAGCTTCAAAGCCAGCCCGGGGAGCGGTGACGTCCCGGGCCAGGCCCCCTGGGAGCAGGGAGCCGGCCCTGCTCGGTGGGGTCCCAGCACAGCCGCGGTCCTGAACTTCCGGCCCCGAACTCTGCCAGGGGTCATCCGACAGCCGCTGTCCCTCCGCTTCCCCTTCTACCCTGAGCTGGGGTCGAGCGAGCTCTGGCTCAGGCCCGGGGGCCCTGGCAGCTTGCAAGCGGCCCCTTCCTCTTTGGGTCCCTCTGGCCCCTCCCGAGGGTGCTGAGGCCAGCGGGCAGGGGCTGAGCCTGTCGCCTTGGAGTAAGGCTCTTGGTCTCCCCCGCCCAGGGCGGCATGTATGTGTTCCAGCTCTTTGACTACTACGCAGCCAGTGGCATGTGCCTCCTGTTCGTGGCCATCTTCGAGTCCCTCTGTGTGGCCTGGGTCTACGGTGAGTCTGTCCCAGGACTCCTCCTTCCCAGAGCCCTCTGACAAAGACACACGCTCATTACTCAGCCTCTTCTTCCTTCTTCTTCTTCTTCTTCTTCTTCTTCTTCTTCTTCTTCTTCTTCTTCTTCTTCTTCTTCTTCTTCTTCTTCTTCTTCTTCTTCTTCTTCCTCTTCTTCCTCTTCCTCTTCTTCTCCTTCTGCTTCTCCTCCTCCTCCTCCTCCTCTTCTTTTTTTCTTCTTCTTGTACTGCTATAAATTCAGCCACTGATTAAGCTGATTGAAATGGGCATGAAATCCACATTAAAAGGCCCTCCCGTTGATCATCGATTTGCTCGAGCGGGCCCAGTAACGTCTCCATTGGAGACTTTGTTGTTACTGTGTCTGGCATATCGAATACTCTCGGCAGCTTGCCGGGCTCTCCGAGAGGGGTGGAGGAATCGAACTCGGGTCGGCCATGTTGGCTGCGTGCAAGGCAGACGCCCTACCCGCTGTGCTATTGCTCCAGCCCGAAATTCACATTACTTTAAAAAAATTTTTATTTGAAATTTTAGGCCATTACAAAGCTGTTCATGATTGTATTTCAGTCACAGAATGATCCCGCGCCCATCCCTCCACCAGTGTGCATTTCCCACCACCAATATCCCATTTCCCTCCCACCCTCCCCAAAAACCCCACCCCCACCCCCAGCCTGCCTCCTTCTATGGCAGGCACTCTCCTTCTCACTCTCTCTCTCTCCTTTTCCTTTTGTGCATTATGGTTTTACTCTGCCTTTTCTTTTTCTGGAAACCTGCCATCCCCCCCCCCCCCCGCCCTGATTCTTCAGTCTCTCAGATATCTCCAGAATTCTCAATTTCTTCAAGGGTCATCCCATCCAACCCCCACCAGTCCCCTCCTGGTTAGACCGTACTAGCCCCACCCCAGGAGGGCCCCGGGTCCTATGGAGCCAAGCCTCAGTCTGGGATCAACTTGAGAATTGGGATGTGATGATTACCTTGAGCCCTTCCAGGTTCTGTCCAGGGGTGTTGATGTCAGACAAGAGTCTTTTGATTTAAAGAGACAACCAGTGGGGCTAAAGCAATAATACAGCTGGTAGGGCACGGGCCTTGCACACGAGCTACCCAGGTTTGATCCCCGACACCCCATACAGTTACCTGAGCTCCAACAAGAGTGATCCTTGAGTACAGAGCCAGGAGTAAGCCCTGAGGACCACTGGATGTGGGTTCTCCTGCCGCAAAACAAAAGCAGAAATGGAATTTATATATATATATATATATATATATATATATTTAAAAGAAAAGACAGCCAACACACCTTCTGTTGATGGTCTGCCTGGTGCCCATCCTGACTCATGGGGTGCTAATTAATGTTCTTTTCTTCTTTTCTTTTCCTCATGATAGGAGCTGGGCGCTTCTATGACAATATTGAAGATATGATCGGATACCGGCCGTGGCCTCTTATCAAATATTGTTGGCTCTTCCTCACACCAGCTGTGTGCACAGTAAGAGAAGCTTCCAGAGCGGAAGCCAAGTGTAAGAACAGACAGACAGGGCTGGAAGGAAGGATAAAGTGGCCTTAGAGGGACTTGTAGAAGGGGCCCAAAGGCTGGGGCTCGAGAGAGGGCGTAGTAAGTAGGGCATTTGCCTTGCACACAACTGACCTGGATTTGATCCCTGGCACCCCATATTACTACCAGGAGAAATTCTTGAGCATTGCCAGGTGTGGCCCAAAAACTGAAAAAAAGAAAAAAAAAGCCTGAGGTGGGGGGAGGCACAGCCCACGGGGATTTCTCGCAGGATTGATGTTTTAGCGTTTCCCTCATCCTTCTGAATCCCGGAAAAGGATGGCAATTAGAATCTGCCTTTCCACTTCACAGAAAGACAAACTGAGTCCCAGTGCTGTGGGTCTACTTGACCTACAGTCACAATGGGAGTGGACGAGGGCTGCAGACAAGCCCGAGACTCGAGTGCGTGGGGCTCTTCAGAGTCGTGCCAGGAGGCGCCTCAATCCTGACAGCAGGATCTGGCCCATTCCCAAGGACTCGCAGGCAGAAAATTTCCTTGATATTCATTTTCCACACGAGAGTCGGCACCTTGCCCGAGCATGTGGCCTTGAGGACCGAAGGCCGGGCAACTGGGCTCTGGCTCCCGGGCCTCAGGCCGGCGATGCTGTTTCCTCCACCAAGTCAGGGCTCACCCAGGCTTCCAGTCCAGGGTTGCTCAGAAGCCGGGGGTGGGGGCGGGGCAAGTGGCACGGTCCCTCTCGAGGGTGTGGCTGGTTTAGCACCAGCAGGCACCTCATCCCTTCCCGTCCCGACTGGGGACCAACCCTGTGAGGCGGGCCCAGAGCGAGGGTCTGCAGCGGCACTGTCCCCCACAGTGGTCTGCGGGACTGGGCGGCAGGAGACTGATGCAGGGAGGCCGAAGGCAAAGCCAGGCTGGTGGGGGGGAGGGGCGGAGTTACTGCTGCCAGCTCTTGTGAGGGGCTGGTGAGGGTGCCGGGTCCCTGTGTGACCAGCGGCTCCATGCTCCCCCCTCTCGCAGGCCACCTTCCTCTTCTCCCTGATCAAATACACCCCCCTGACCTATAACAAGAAGTACACGTACCCCTGGTGGGGTGATGCCCTGGGCTGGCTCCTGGCTCTCTCCTCCATGGTCTGCATCCCGGCCTGGAGCGCCTACAAACTCAGCACCCTCAAGGGCCCCTTCCGAGAGGTACGGGTGGGAGAGAGGGGGAGAGCGGACCGGGGCCGGGGCGGGGAGAGAGGGGCTCTCAAGTCTCGGGCGGGGCTGGGCCTCCACGACACCGGCGGTGACGGCTGCGTGGCAGCTGGAGGGGGTGCCAGGGGCATGTGCTCAGGTGCCCCTCTCCCCGCAGAGACTGCGCCAGCTCGTGTGCCCAGCAGAGGATCTGCCACAGCGGGAGCTGAGCCCCGGAGCGGAGCCCTGCGCGCCCGTCTCACCCAGGAGCTCCCTCCTCCGACTCACCGAGCTGGAGTCACACTGCTAGGGGCATCTGGGGGGGCCTGGCTGGGGATGGCGGGAAGGAACAGCTGCAAAGAGGCTGGCGGGGCAGCTTCCAGAAGCTTTTCTCTCCCCCACGACACACACCCAGGCGAAGTCCAATTAAAAGGGGCGATTGGGGAATCCTTCCTTCGGACTGGTGGTCTTCCTACCCCCAAGCCATGCTAGTTTGAAGTGCCGGCGTTGGGCACGTCCTGGCTGACGGGGGCCTTGGGGGTGGGCATGGGCTCTGGCCCCCGGAATTTCCATCCCATTAAATCTGCATTCCTCCTGCCCACGATGAACACGTGCGCCTGGTTTCTGCTCTCCTGCCTTTACCGTGGGGACAGGGTGCTTGCCTTGCACACGGCTGACCTGGGTTCCATCCCTGGCACCCCATGTGGTCCCACCTGCAGAAGTGAACCTCGAGCTCTGCTGCTGGGCGTGGCTCCGAAGGCAAGAAAGAAAAATGAAGAAAGTCCGTTGGGGCAGCCTCTGGCTCTCCTTCCCCTGCTGAGGTCTCCTGGCGGCCCCCAGCAGAGGGGACAGGTGGGCAGTGCCAGTGAGACCCCCATCATAGACTGTCCGGCTCCCTGCATGCCCCGTCCCTCCATCAGCTCTGTGCGGTGGCAAGGGCGGGGAAGGAGGCACAAGCCCAGCTCCGCGGAGGCAGGAGGACGTGGTCCTAGTTGGCATCCGTTTCTCAAGTTTGCTAAACCAGTAGGGTGCCAGGCGCCGGCGCCAGGAGGAGGCGCAAGTGCCACGGCCCTGGAAGACCGTTCCCCCGACTCAGCCAGCAGAGGGACCCGCCTCCTTAGTGCCACTCAGTGTTGCTTCCTCCGCTGATCAGGGCTGGAGACCAACCACCAGGGTGGCCACGAGGGGGTGGCACTGACCTGGCACTGCTGCCAGGCCCAGCTCGGCTATCTGTCGGGGCCCTGAGGTTTCTTCTGCAAGGGGAGCAAGGCACAGCCTGACCCAGCAGGCTTGGCTGGGACCCCCGGGGAGCTCGCCAATGGCTCTGGGCGGGGGCGGGACAGGGGCTTACACCTGTCTGAGCGAGTGCGCGTGTATGTGTGTGTCTGCATGTGAGAACGTGTGAGCATGTGCGTGACAGTGAGCATGTGTCTGTAGTATGTGCGTGAGCATGCGCATTTACACGTGAGAGTGTGTGCGTGTGAACACGCGTGAGTGTTCACGTGTGTGAGTGTGTTTGAGGGGGCATATATTCACGAGCATGTGTCTGCCTGTATGCGAGCATGTGTGATGTGTGTGTCTGAGCATGTGTGTGTACATGGATGAGAGCGTGTGTGAATGTGTGTGTGTGTGAGCACGTGAGTGTGAGCATGCATGAGTGAGTATGAGTGTCTGCATGAGTGTGAGCGAGTGTGTATAAGGGAACACGCACCTTCTAGTGCCCTGAATGGGCGGAAGTTTCTGCAGCTGCCTGGGCGACGGCCCTGGGAGGCGACAGGACCCCTCAGAGGAACAGCCCGAGGCTCCCATGCTCCTGTTTCCCTGGTCTTGTTTTGGTTTGCTTCCAGCTGGCTGCTGGGAACCACCGAAACCCACCTGCCCACCTGTGCTTGTTTCCAGGATAAATTAGCAAGGCAAGTGTTTGCAGACCGGGGCCCTGACTCAGGCTGCTGTTTTCTGGACTCGCTTGGGCATTTCCCCAGGGGTGCCAGGCTCCACCACAGTCCTGAGACAAGAGCCCTAAGTCTAGAGCAGCACACCCCTGCCCTCTGCCTGTCCATCCAGCTGACACCATTTCCAGAACTTTCCGTGGGGGTGCTGTGCTGTGTTCATGGCACAGAAGGACCCACGGTAGGTATGTTTTGTTGGTGTTTGTTTTCTGGGCCACACCCGGTGGCACTCTGGCTGACTTTTGGCTCTGTGCTGAGGAATCCCTCCTGATGGGGCGCAGGAATAGACCCTGGGTTGGTCCTGTGCGAAGCAAGCGCCCTACCCGCTGTACTACCTCTCTGGCCCGCACGTTAGAAATGACAAATGGAGGGTCTGGAGTGCTAGTGCAGTGGGTGGGACACCCCTGTGGTCTCCCCAGCCCCCCGGGAGTCATCTCTGAGCACAGAGCCAGGAGTCAGCCCCAGCACCGCTGGGTGTGGCCGCGGACGGACAAACAAAAAGACAAAAGGTGACTGATGCTACCAAGGAGAAGAGAAGCGGGCGGGAAGGCTGAGTGCGGGTGGGACGCACGTGGCCCCGCAGGCTGGGCGGCCGCGCGCTTCCCGGGGGCTCTGTCTCTGCCCGCCCACCGGCTCCGGGCAGCCGGCCTGCTGGGCCGGGCAGGGCCGGGGCGGCTCCGGAAGGCAGCAGCTTGGCACCGGGTTCGCCGCTGCGTGAGGGCTGGAATGCGCTGCGGGGCCGGGCCGGGCCGGGCCGGGGCTCCTCGCCCGACCCGACCGGGGCTCTGGGCTTGTCTGGGTGCGCGCACCTGGGCGCCCGCATCCTCCCGCGCAGGGAGCGCCGTCACCGCGGCGCCCAGGAGGTGATGCGCGGGAGCCCCTCAGACTCAGGGGTGCCCGCGCCGGGGGGTCGTTGGACCGGCTGAGCGGGCGGGCGCCGCGGCTTCCAGGGAGCTGCCCGCCGCCCCGGGGCCCTGGCAGGCAGAGGTGTGAGAGACGAGTCCCTGGGCAGGGAAGTGGAGCAGGATTAGCTGCCTTTGGCCTCAGCCCAGCGACTGAGGTGTGGGGGCGTGGGAGGAGGTTGCTCCGAGTTCTGCGGCTCTCCAGGCCCGCACGCCGGGATCGTCCCGAATCCTGCAGTTCTGGCAGACCACGTGGAAGCAGGGTCCCCAGCCGGAGCCCAGCGGGAAGGGCTCTTGCCTTGCGCGTGGCCCACCAGGGTTTGATCCCCGGGAGCCCAGAGTGTCCTCTGGGCTTCACCAGGACTGACCTCTGAGCACAGAGCCACAAGGATGCCCTGAGCACTGCTAGGTATGGCTCAAAACAAGAACAACAACAAGAGGAGGAGGAGGAGGAGGAGAGGAGGAGGAGGAGAGGAGGAGGAGGAGGAGGAGGAGGAGAGGAGGAGGAGGAGGAAAGGAGGAGAAGAAGGAAAAGGAGAAGGAAGGAGAAGGAGAACAAGGAGAAAGAAGGGGAAGGAGGAGAAGGAGAAGAAGGAAGAAGAAGAAATGAAGAAGGAGAAGGAGAAGGAGAAAGAAGAAAGAAGGAGAAGGAGGAGGAGAAGGAAGAAGAAGCAGAAGGAGAAGGAGAAGGAGGAGAAGGAGAAGAAGGAGAAGGAGAAGAAGAAGAAGAAGAAGAAGAAGAAGAAGAAGAAGAAGAAGAAGAAGAAGAAGAAGAAGAAGAAGAAGAAGAAAAGAAGAAGAAGAAGAAGAAGAGAAGAAGAGCAAGGAAGGCATGCTGGGAGATTCCCGGGCAAATGCTTGTTGAAGAAGAGCACAGAGCACAGGAAAAAGAGCAGGGATACCCTTGCAGCTGGACAAGGGTGCAGTTGGTTGGACACCATGCCCACCAGGCTGTCTTTATACCTCAGGGGTCTTAGATCCGGTCCCTTGCACCCATGTATTGTCCCTCATGACCCCCAATAAATGGGCTCCAGCTCTGAGATACCGCGGTAGCCAGGCATACCTCTTGATGGAAGCCTGCAGCGCTGGCTTGGCTCCTAACCTTCCTCACTCACCAGCAGTGTGTCCTCTGGTCCTTTGTTTGCGCCTCTATCCATTGGAATGGTGGCATGCACATCATGGTGTGGGCGGAGTTCAGTGGAGGGTGTTGGAATGGGACAGAGTCAAGCAAATGTGTTCCATCTCCTGAGGCTCCAGCAGCCCCTCATGCCCCACCCCCACTACGGAGACTCTCGGACGCATGTCTGTACCCTCCAGCTTCCTCAGTCCTGGCTGCAGGTTGAAGGCTCCGGAAAGAAGGCCACATGTTTAAGGAGCTAACTATGGTTGTTAGGAGTGAAACAAAGGCAGCATCTTGTGGCCTGAGGGTTCTGCTTAGCAAGGCAGTAACTTTCACTAAAAGCAGAACCTAAATCTGCCCCCTGGCTCTGCAAAATCAATGTTCTCAGAGGAAAAGAAAGAGTGGGATCCCAAGTCCCATTCCTCCACCTATCCACCCATTTCCCTACCCATTCATTCACTGTCCATCCCAAACCAGCCATGCACTTATGATCTCCTCATCTATTCGTCCAGCTTCCGTCTATCCCAAACCATCCATTTATCTTTTCTCTATCTGTTCACTCATCCTAAACCATCTCTCCACCCACCCCAAACCATCCATCCACTCATTATCTATCCATCTTTTCACTCACCATCTATTCATTCATTCCAAACCAACCAACCACCCATCCATCCATCAATGTAGCTACCTCACCTTCCCAAACCATCCCTTGGATTACTTTCTCCTGGACAATGTTATGTGAAATGTTGGAAGGAACAGAGAGTTACCATGGGAAAGAGTCTCCTGCAAGATCTTTTATTTAGAGCCAAGAGGCTCCGATTCAAAGCACAGCTCCATTATTTGGTGGAGTGCGGCTCCCAGCACACCTCTCTTAATCTCTTTCTATTTGCCTGGATTTCCTTACCTATAAATCCAGTCTCAGTCTCTACCTTTCAAGGATACATATTGTGAGACTAAATTGGTTACCATGGAAAGAGCTCATCCGACTTTGATGCGCAGGGAGTAGATGCCACGCCAGTCTTTCTTAGAGCATATGGCGGCAAGGGCATGAGAACATGTTTTAGGATTCAGTGGTTCTCACCACACCAAGGCGATGGATTCATTGAACTACCTTTCGCCTCATCTCTGAACCCTTCCCCGGGGAAGAGAGCAGTGTTGTCTTATGCCAATTTTCCAAATCAGGATATTTAACTTTGGAAAGATGGGAACTCTGCATACCAGGAGTTTACCAATTGATCTGAATATCCAATACGAGTTGGAAGCTTCTAGGGTTGAAGTACGGAAAGTCGAAAGGGAATGTCAGGGTCAAACAAGGCAGCTGTTCCCCTCCAAGTTGAAGGAGAGGGGGAACACGACTGGATCTTGGGTGTTCCTAAGTCCTCGCAGAAAGACACAAACCAAAGTTGGAACGAACAAAGGGCGAGGAACTCCATCCAGCCCCTTCTCCTCCCTCTTACCCCCCCTCCCAGAGAGGGAGGCTATATGGTCCTGGAACTAGGGTCCCTCCTGGACTTTGGGGTCCCCAGTGCAATTAGCAGCATGGTTGACACATGGTGACCCTGGCGAGCAGAGAGAGGGCAGATGCAGCAGGCTAAATGCCCTGAACCAGCAGAGCCCAGGCGAAGCCAGCATGTGGCTTCCGCAGGGGCCATGAAGGGGCCAAATCCCCTCTGCCAGAGCTGCCCCCTAGCCCTGCTTGTGGTGTCACCGAGGCAAAAGGTCTGAGAACCGAGCCTTGGTGGTGAGAATTCCCAGAAGAGAGGTGGCGAGGGGCCTGAGAGCCGCTGAGTGGGGGTGCTTCATGGAAAAGTACAGCCCGAGAGTCTCACTCCGTCCTCCCAGCCTGCAGGGAAGTGGTGCGAAGGGGAAGTGGGGACAAAGGGAATTTCCCATTCTCCCCACCATCTCCCTCCCTCGCTACCACCTGGGGCTGGAGAAGCATCCTCATTGTCTGGAAGGGAGCCTGAAAGGAGGGTCCTGTGGGACCCGCGCCCTGCAGCCCGGGCCTGGCCCTGGGACAGTGGCGAGGATCTGCGGCTGGAGCAGCTCTCCCGGGCACGCAGCAGGGGCACACCTATTTATTAAACAAATACCAATGCACCATGCAGGCTGCCAAGAAACGGTTCCTGTGCCTTTGGGCCAAGAGGTCACCAGCTCAGGGGCTACTCCTGACTCAGGGCCGGGGGTGCCTCCCACGGAGCACCAGGGGTCCTGCATCAAGGCCTGTTCTCCAGTTCTCCCAGACACCTCCCCACCCCCACCCCAGCATACGTTCCACTGCCTCACGAGACACCCCAGCCCCTGCTACCTTGTCCCCTGCCCCCCACAACCAACACCCGGGGCTCTCCTTAGACGCGCACCCTAACCCAGACCACCTGCAGTTTTGTCTCCAGCCCCGCAACTCTTACAAATAGGGAAACTGAGGCTCAGGTCTGTGCTGGGTTGACAGGGGCTGGTAAATACCGAGGGCCTCTGGGCCACAGCACATGGGGGTCCTTTCTGGATTATCTTCCCGAGTGGTCCACCCTGGGGCAGCTGTGCCCAGGAAAATCCCAAGCCAAAGGGGCGCTTCAGGGTGCTGCCTTGAAACCACAGGGGCAGGTACCGGGTGGAAAACTCCAGCTCGTGATTCACCCTCCTCCCGTGCCCGGGGCCAACTCCCCTCCCGAGCTTCTGCTTCCAGCCCAGAGGGGGCGGCTCCCACCCCAGGCTTCCTAAGAAAGGGCTCTGAGCACTGGACATCCCCTCCTTTCTTCCGGAGGGGGCAAGGTGAGAGGGGAGAAGGGGAAGGGGCCTGGAGGGGAGGGGACGGGGAGGAGGTGGCACGTGAGGCGGAGACTCAGAGGGCTGTGCTGGGCCAGCGCTCACGGGGAGGGAGGCAGGAGGGGTGCTCTGTGGGCGGGAGGGGGGTGGGCCGGGGGGCAGAGGACGCGACTTCCTGAGGTTGGATGTTGTAATCCTGGTTCACAAACTTTTGGCCTCCGTCCCTCCTGTGGCTCGTGGTATTTCTCTGCCCCTGCACTTCCCAATTCACTGGCGCAAGCACACACAAGCGCGCACACACACACACACACACACACAAGTACACACACACACACACACACACACACACACACACAGAGTTATTTTCTGTCCTCCGGGAGTTCCAGGACTCCGTGCAAATGGGATTCTGAGCTGGGAGCCACCGGAGAAGGGAAGGTGGACCCTACTTTCCCTTTCAGGTCCTCCCCTTTCTCCCTCTCTCTCTCTCTCCCTGTCTCTCTCGCGCCCTCTGCATTCTGGTGAGCCGCTTTTCTGGAACTCTCCGAGGGACCTGAGGCATGGAACTGAGCTGAGCACAGGAGCCAGACCAGGACGAGGTGAGCAGGAAGCAGAGGGCTGGGTCTGTCTCCAGGGCTTCGAGATCAGCCCCCCAGGCCGGGGAGGCTCTGCCGAAGGAATCCTAGGTCTGTGGCTCAGTCATCTGGGCTGGGAAAAGGCTGAAGTCTGAGGCTCTCAGAGCGAGGAGTGTCACCGACGCCCCTTCCCTCTGCCGACATCAGGGTCACCCCCTGGGTCACCCCTGCCCGGGGAACAGGAAGGCACATTGGGGGCTACTCCAGGGAGAGGGAAAGACGAGTGAGGGCCTAGTGGAGGGGGGACTCAGACAGCGCCTAGGGGAGTGGCAAGGAAGGCAGAGGGAGAAGTCCGGGCTGCCCCTAGCGGGTGGGGGCAGGGGCTTCTGCCCGCCCTTCCTCCCCAGCCAGCAGCCGGCACCGGGAGCCAGGAGCCTGTATGCCCAGATCGAAGCTGCCCGCCCGGCTCTGCGGGCTCTGCGTAGGGTGGGGGGAGGAGGGCATGCGCCTGCCGGCAGGGAGGCAGTGGTGGGAGGTGCAGACGGCCCCCAGCTGAGCCCGGCCGACTCTGGGGTGTGAAGAGTGGAAGGGGGGGGCAGGTTTTGGTGCCTTGAGCACAGGTATGTGTGTGCAAAGGGACGTGACGGGAACGGCACCTGTGAGCATGTGTGGAAGGGACCTGGTATGTGGGTGTGGGCTGAAGCCTGTGCGTCCCTGGGCCCCGCCCCCAACCCGTGCAGCACATTCCTAGGCCCGGCTGGACTGGGGCGCCGGTCGGGACTGAGCTGGACCCTGCAGCATGGGGGTGGGGGGCGCCTTTCTGGACGGTCTGCACCTGGCCGCCTCCGGCTTCAGGTTGGCTTCTGGAAACGGCCCACGGCAGGCGAGCCTCTTGAGGATTTCCTCGATGGGCCACTTGGAGCTTGGCATCGGGACGGCCCCAAGGGATGGTCCATCCCATGGTCCCCTGCCTGGCCCAGCACAGGCCAAGTGGCTGAGCCCTGTGCACCCTGGGGAGAAGGGGGCGTCCCCTGGAATCAGCTAGGCTGGGGTCAAACGCTGCTGTCTGACTATTCCTAGGCGTGTGCGCCCAAGGAGGGGGGTATGCCATCATTTCAGATTTCTACGCCCCTCCCCCCCCCCCCCCCCCGCACACACCCTGCCGTGGGCACAGAGAGACCTCAATGACTGGTGAGCGTGTTTTGCATGAAGGTGGCACGGGGTTGGTTCCCAGCACTGTTTGACCACCGAAAACAACCCTGCACATAAGCCACTGGTGGCCCATGGGCGTCATGGGATGCCAGCCCAAAAGCCACCTCCGAAGAAGAGCTCCGTGGGGTTTGTGCCCGGTCCCGGGGCTCTGGGCTCGCTGCCCTGAGTCTAGCCCTGTCTTTCCTGCGGCACTCACGAGCTCGTTTCCACTTCAGTGCCTGCCGTGGCACAGGGCCCACCCCGGCTCACATGCCCTGAGTCTCAGTCTGCCATTCCCGTTTCTCATTGTTACCGGCAGAGTCCACTCCTCCCAGGAACTGTTGTTGCTGTTGAAAGAAAAGTGGAAACGAACCCCAAGCTGTCCACTCGGTGTCAGTTTGGGGCTGAGGCTGGCCTCTGGGCTCAGTCCATCACACCCGCCCAGCTCTCCTAGTCGCTTTTTTCTCATTCATCCTTTCCCCTCACCCATGAGCACAGCAGGGCCCCGGAATAGTGGCCTCGGGGCTGGGGCTGCTGAGAGAGCCTCCCTTGGGGACCCTCTTCTCTGGGGTGCCCGGGGTCTCCACCGCAGCCAGCCCTTCTCCTTATCTTCCGCCTTCTGCCTATTTGGTTTCGATCCCTCCACACCTTCGCAGCACCCACCTGAGTCAAAGCCGTTTTTTTTCTCTTCCAGGAAGACTAACTCCCACCTCCCCCACCCCCACGCCCGCCCTCTTCCCAGGAGTTGTGTTTGGCCTGAGATCTCGCTGCACGGCACGTGTGTTGTTGGAAGAGCTGAGAGTGTAGGTGAGTGGACCCGAATCATCACACACCTGCTCCTCTCCCGCCCCGCCACCCAGCCCTGCTTCGCCTCGTTTACGAAACGGGTTCCTTCAGAGCAAGGTGTTCCGTTTCACCAGGGACATTCTGTCGTGTCGATCGCGCTTTGCGCCTAGTGCGGGCCCCAGTGTGAACTTTCGCGTTACCCACAGCGAGTCCTGGACTCGAGCCGGGGTTTCCGCTCTGCTGCCTTTTTATCCCAGGTCTGGAGCTCGTTCATTCATTGCTCTGTTGTTCGCTCATCTCTTGGATTAGGAATCAGGATCCTTCCAGCTGCCCCTCCCAAGCCAGTGGCAGCGTCCACCAGCATTTCCCTTGGGGTCCGACTCCGCTGTTCGCCCAGCCTGGGGCATCTGCCCAAGAGTCCCGTTGGGTCTCAACCTGGCGCCCTCGCCCCTTCTCTCGCCTCGCCCCTGCCCCCACTCCTTACGCCTGAGGCTCGAGGCTGTGACCCGCCCTCTGGGTGCCTCTCCCCTCCTCTTCCCCACGGGCCCGAGTTGGCAGTGGGACCCTCGACACAGGTCCCCAGGCCAGAATTTCACTCCGCCATGCTTGCCCGTTCCGGGGATAACCTGCACCCTCCGAGTCACCTTCAAAACTTTCCATAACCTCAAGTGGCTCCTGCCGCGCCTTTTTCTAGCTCACTTGGGCTTGGGCTGTTGCCTGGGCTGAAAGGACCAACAAGTAAACACAGACTCTTCTTTTCATGAAAAGAATCCCTTGTGTTTCTCTCGGGCTTCGGAGAAGCCTAGAACCCCGGGAGCTCCTGGCCTTCCCGACTCCCCTCAGGTGCCCGGGGAAACAACGTGGGGGTGGCCTCAAGGGGGCTGGGGGCAGGGAGTGGGGTGGGAAGGTGGAGGCACACAGATTCCACCCTGACAGACAGCACAGAGCAGCAAGGTGTCTCCTGGCAGCCGGCCAACAGATGCGAGGCGAGGATGAAGCAGAGACATTTTTCTAGAACTTGAGGGAGTTCAGGACTCTTGGGGGCGTGGAGGGGCAGAGAGAGAGTCTGGAAGGGCAGCGACCTGGGGTGACGGGCAGCGGCGGGTAGGCCTCCCTTTTAAGAGACTCTCTGGGCCCCAGGTCCACCTTCTTCTTTCCTCCCAATCAGATGCCCAGAGCTAGCTGGCTCCCATGTTTACTCTGAGGGGATCGATTGCCCTGGCGCGGGAGTGAGCACACAGCTGCCCGGAGCAGACGAGGCAGTAGCCGGGATCATGCCTGCCCTTTGACCTTCCGATCTTTGGATCCTTTTCGATAGAGAAGCTGGGCACATAGGCCAGTGGGGTTGGTGGTTGACTGAAAAAAAACAAAACTTGAAATGAAAGGTCGCAGGTTTGGGGTTTTACCCCAGTCTACTCCTGTGAGGGCGTCTTTGGTCTTTCCATCTGCGAAGTGGGCACACAAAGATGAGCTTTGGGTGTCATGAGACCCAGGCGTAAACGTCATGGAGAACTGGGGGAGAAAATCAGGAGTGTGGTGATCCGAAGCACCTTCCCAGCAATTTGGAATACGGAAATGCTTTTCTGGCAGAAGGGCGATGTGGCCGGAGAAGGCGTCACGCGTGGGGCGGTGGTGCTCACTCCCTCTCCTCCCTCCAGGCTGGGCCTCGTCCTCCTGCCCCTGCCCAGCGCTGCCGCCTCTCCACCCGGGACATGGCCATGGACGGCAAAGTGGCAGTCCCCGAGGATGGGCTTCCCGTGGTCTCCTGGGTCCCCGAGGAGGGAGAGAAGTCGCACCGGGAAGGCCAGGAGCAGGTGAAGGACCGGGGCCAGTGGACCAACAAGATGGAGTTTGTGCTGTCAGTGGCCGGGGAGATCATTGGGCTGGGCAATGTCTGGCGGTTTCCCTATCTCTGCTACAAAAACGGAGGTGGTGAGTTCACTTTGAGGTAGGCCTGGTGGGGAGAGCTGTGTCCCGACAGCCGCTCAGGGCCTTCCCAGACGCAGTCTGTTAAGTGGAAGGAGGCTGGAGTGGACCTGGAGACCGGCGGGGAGTTCTAGCTCTTCCGTTAACCTCAGTGTGCCCCTCTGTAGAATGGGGGCGTGCCTCCCCGGGGTCCAGAGAGCATTACGTGAGGAAATGTGCCACATTGAGGAGTCTGACTTTTAAATCTGATTTTTTTTTCTTTTTGGGTCACACCCAGTGACGCACAGGGGTTACTCCTGGCTCATGCACTCAGGAATTACTCCTGGCGGTGTTTGGGGGACCACATGGGGTGCCGGGGATCGAACCCGGGTGGGCCGCATGCAAGGCAAATGCCCTACCCACCGTGCAATCGCTCCAGCCCCATAAATTTGAATTATTTTTATTGATTGTTATTTTGGTGTGGAGTGATGTCCAGCGGTGCTCAGGGCTCACTCCTGGCTCTGCGCTCAGGAACCACTCCTGACAGTGCTCAGGGACCACTCCTGGCAGGGCTCAAGAGACCGTATGGGGTGCCAGGAACGGAACTCGGGTCTGCTTCATGGGAGGCCAGAGCCTTTTCCCCTGTACTATCTCACCAGCCCTGAAGCTGACTTTTTAATAAGCTCCTTTGTTACTTGAAACAAATGTCAGTAGGTAGAATGTATTTATCCACTCAACTAAAATGATTATATTTTTTAAAATAAAATTTTATTGTAGTCATATTGACCTAGAACATCTTGGATGCAGACATACAGCATTATAATATGTTTTTTCTTTTTGGGTCACACCCAGCAATGCTTAGGGGTTAAATCTGGCTTTGCACTCAGGAATCACTCCTGGCGGTGCTCGGGGGACCATATGGGATGCTGGGAATCGAACCCGGGTCGGCTGCGTGCAAGGCAAATGCCCTCCCCGCTGTGCTATCACTCCAGCCCCAGCATTATAATTCTGTATCTGCAGACACCCTGTTATGATCATGATTAAGGAGTCTGGTCTCCATCCATTGCTGAACACCTGACCCACTGCCCCCTAACCCCCAAGGCAACCAACGTTAAGATCTCTGTATCAAAGAGTATGTTTTGTTTGTTTGGTTGCTCTCTTGATGTGAGCAAAATCATGTAACTTTTGTTTTCCTCCCCTCTCGTTAATTCCCACTGGTGTTGTTGAAAAATGGCCAGATTTCATCTTTTTCATAGCTGACTGGCTTTGCCTCTCTTAGTTCTGCCACATCTTGTTGACCCGTGGATGGGCAGGGAGTTTCCTGGGCTATTAGAAACAGCGCGCAATGAATACGGTGGGCACTTCTCACTTAGTGTTTCGTGTTCTTCAGATAGAGCCTCGGAGGCTGGGTTGTATGGGAATTCTGTTTTAAAGTTGCAGAGGAATCCCCGCAGTACATTCCCGTAAGACGGTGGGCACATCTTTCTCGCATTTGCTGCTTGCCTTTTCTGTTTGCTTTCTTGGCCACACCTGGCAATGCTCAGGGGTTGCTCCTGGCTCTGCCCTCAGGAGTCACTCCTGGTGGTGCTCAGGGGACCACACGGGTGCCAAGGACTGAACCCAGGCCGGCCGCTTGCAAGGCCAGAGCCTTGTCCACTAGTCTGTCTCTCTAGTCCTGTTGCTTATCTCTTCGAGACAGGCCGTTCTAACAGGGGGGAGGCGAGACCTCGTTGTGGTTGACTTGCATTGTCCCAACAGGAAGTGCAGAGAACGTGTTTTCGTGTGCTTAGAGCTATGATTTGTTTGTCTTCTTCGGAGAATACACCTTTTCATGTCGTCCATGCATTTTAAAGGCAGGTTTGTTGTCGGTTGAGTTGTATGTGTTCTTTATGTTTTGGATATTAATCCCTTGGCGAATTTTTGCTTCACAAATATGTTCTCTCATCCACGTATCATGGGCCTACCTTGTGCTAAGAACTGTTCCAAAGGCAAACAAGAAAGTATTCTGTGTCCGGAAAGAATTCTGTGTGTTATTTCTTACGTGAAGGGTAGCAAGGATAACAGTCGCAGACAAGCAAGTAAAAGCACAGTATGTCAAAAGGTGCCGAGTGGAATGACGAACAGCAGAGTAGGAGGGAGGAGAAGAAAACACTGGGTCAAGGGGTGGAGGGTGGCGGGGAAGGGATTTGAAGTGTGAGATAGGAGCACCAGGGCATGTCTCGTTGAAGGGGTCGCTTTTGAGCAAGACTTGAAGGAGGTGTCTTATGGATACTGGGTGGAGAACATCCAATGAGACCAAACAGCAGGTGCAAAGTTCCTGGGGTGAAAGTGCACTTGGCATATTCGCAGAGCACAGGGCACGGGCAGGCAGCGCTGGGCTCAGGAGACACAGGAAGGCCGGTAGAAAACGAGATCAGCGAGCTAGTAGGGCTTGGCTCTTGATGTCAAATCAGCTGTGCTCTGACTTGAACAGGGGCAATTAAAGCATTTTGATTTAAAAAATTGCATTGCAGGGACTGATTATTTCAGTGTAAAAAAAAAAGAACCCCCTCACAATTTTATGCTGATCGTCAGTACTGGTTACAAAGCCAAGCAAGGGCATGGGGTTGGGGAGGTGGCGAGCAATCTTGCAGAGTAGCGTGCAATGGCTTTTGGTGCACCCTCAGAACGGCGCGGCTGTGGCTGCTTGATGTTAAAGCGTCTCATCACGCCCCACCAGCAGCCACTGCCCTGCCCTGCCCCTGCAGGCCCCGAACCACCCCTAATCTACGCTGCCATTCCACATTAAGGGAATGATTCACTGGGCATGAAGCCTGCTCCCTTGACTTCCCTTCTTCCCTCCCCTCCCCTCCCCTCCCCTCCCCTCCCCTCCCCTCCTTTCCTTTCTTTCTGCCACATCCAGTGGTGCTCAGGCTTACTCTTGGCTCTATGCCTAGGCATCATTCCTGGCAGTCAGAGATTAAACCCAGGTCAGCTGCATGCAAGGCAAATCCCTTTCCTGCTGTACTATGAGTCTGTGGTCAGGCTCATTCCTGCCTTTAAAGAGGGACATTTCATTCTGGAGGCCTCTACATGTCAGTTGTGGGAGTGCAAATATTTTTTCTTTATGGTATTGACTCTCTCTCTCTCTCTCTTTCGCTTAAATTTCCTAAATAAAATTATTTACCTCACTGAAAATAAGTATATAACTTTAAATGTATAAGTGTATGTATAATACCTTTATTCCTCTTGTGAAATTTTTATTAGGTATTAGGTACATTCCAGAAAGCTAAGAAGAAACATGCCCTTTTAAAGATGGGGCCAGAGTGATAGTACAGCAGGTAGGATTCTTGCCTTGTTCACGGCTGACCCCAGTTTGACCCCAGTGTCCCCCAAGCAACTGCCAGGAGTGATTTCTGAGTGCAGAGCCTGGAATGACTCCTGAGCATCACCAGGTATGCCCCAAACCGAAATAAATAATGAGCACTGTTACTTATAAAGTCCACCTAAATGCTATTTCTATCTAATTCAACAAATATTTCCTGAGCATCTATGATGCACTTTTTCTTCTGTATGCAAATGCTAATAGTTATTAAGGGCTGGGGAGATGACTCAAAGGATTGGAGCCCAGGGTATGCATGCTAGAGCCCCGGTCTTGATTCCTAATACCACATGGTCCTCTGAGCACTGGCCACTATAACTTCCCACCCCGCCCCAACCCAAACCAAACCAAACACTGTCCTCCTGTTGTTCATTGATTTGCTCAAGCGGGCACCAGTAACATCTCCACTGTGAGACTTGTTGTGACTGTGTTTGGCATATCGAATATGCCACGGGGAGCTTGCCAGGCCCTCCGAGAGGGGCAGAGGAATCGAACCTGGGTTGGTCACATGCAAGGCAAATGCCCTACCCGCTATGTTATCTCTCCTGGCATTTTTAACACCAGAGTCTAAATGAAGCAGGGGATTCTAACCAGCCATTACTAGTCTTTAAGATCTATGAAGGGTAGCCGTGAAGGTTCAGAAATTCATGATCTCAAACATGTTTTTTTAAAAAACTTTCAGGCCACACCCACAGTGCTCAGAATTCACTCCTGGTGTGACTTGGGTGAACATGTTGGGTGCTGGGAACTGAACCCAGGTCAACTGCACACAGGGCAAGTGCCTTCCCTGCCGATCTAGCTCTCTAGTGTTTTATTATTATTATTATTATTATTATTAAGGTTTGGCGGCTGAAGCATATATAGCACAGTGGGTAGGGCATTTTCCTTGCACGGGGCTGGCCTGGCTTCAATTCCCAGCATCCCATATGGTCCCCCGAGCACTGCCAGGAGTAATTCCTGAGTGCAGAACCAGGAGGAACCCCTGAGCATCGCCGGGGGTGACCCAAAAAGCCAAAAAAAAAAAGTTTTGTTAAACATGCTCGTACTCTTTATTTTTGCTTTCTTTGTTTTTGAGGCCACAACCAACAGTGCTGGGGGGCAATTCCCAGCCCTGTGCTCGGGGTTTACTCCCAGTGGTGCTCAGGGGACCATGCGGTGCTGGAAACTGACCTCACGCTTCACGCATGCCTCCATGCACTCAGTTTATTGCAGTATCTCTCTGTCTCAGCTTCTTTGTTTTGGACAATTTAGTCATGGAACTATGTAGGAAAATGACATCACAGATTATGTTAAATGTCATTTTTTCCTTTCCTTAGGCTATAATTGTGCTAACTCAGTGGAGGAAGAGATTCTGTTTCTTTTTCTTTTCTCTTCTCTTCTTTCCTTTTCTTTTTTTGGTTTTGAAGCTGAACCTCGTGGTTCTCACGGCTTACTCCTGTTGGGTCTCAAGGGACCATATGGGGTGCTGAGAACCAAACCTGTGCTGACCCCGTGCAAGCCAAGCTCCCTCCCGCAGTGCTATCTCTCCAGTATGACCAACACTCAATGTGGACAGAGACATTAGCAGTTCTGGAGGAAAACAATGGGCAGAGAGGATAAAAATATTAAAGGTTCACGATCACGACCATCCTGTTGTTCGTCGATTGCCTCCAGCAGGCCCCAGTAACGTCTCCTTCGTCCTAGCCCTGAGATTATTTAAAAAGTGCCATATTCAAGGCTCTTTCAGGGTTAGGAGAATGAGACCCATCAATGTTACTGATATTTGGCATATTGGGTACGCCCCAGGTAATTTGCCAGACTCTGCCATGTGGGCAGGTTACATTCAGTAGCCAGCCACTTTGTCCAAAGTAAGAATGAGATAATAAGATGTCGTGCGGCCGCAAATGTGGCCGTGTGCTTCCAGGAGCTGGGTTTTATAGTCTCTGGGGCTTGGCCGTTGATGGGATTAAATGGCACCAGTTGGTGGGTGTGACCCCTGCCTACTGGATTATGGAGGATCTGGGTGGAGGATGCTCAGCCCCAATCCGAGCAGGCTTGGAGATCTCAGCCCCGGGACCTGCATGCCTTTGTTCCTCTGCCGGTACCTTCATGCGTGTGGAGAGTGGTCTCAGCATGGTGGTGTCTGGTTCTGGAGGTCTTCGGCTGCTGGAACCCTGGTCGGGGCGGGGAGGGAAACTCAACCTGCTCCCCTCCAAGGGGCCCTGGCGAGGACAGCCAGGCGCGGGGGCAGGAGACTCTGCGCTGTTCTCTTCCGGGAGCTGGGTTTTATAGTCTCTGGGTCTTGGCCGTTGATGGGATTACATGGCTCCATTAATTAAAGGTTAATGAACTAATAATGAACTAATAAGGAGAACTTGGTTCTGAAAATAAAAATGGGGGAGACATTAAGTTAGATTGGAGAAATAGTTCACTCCTAAAGATACTTTGGTAATTTTCTGAGTTTTCAGATCATTTGTGTAAAGGTTGGGAAAGAGGACTTGGCAGGGATAAAAAAAAAGTATATAATTTTATTTATTTGTTTATTATGTCTGGTGCCGGAGATCAAATCCCAGGCTCACAGGCACAGAGCATGAGCCTTATTCACCACTCAGCCGCACACCAGGCCCAGAGGAAAGAGATCGGAACAAGTCTTAAGTCGTGGGTCCCCTGCACAGAGCCCTGTGGGGCATAGTTTTGCTGCCTGTATGCACAGCCTGGGCAGAGGTCAGGAGACTGGTGGATCAGGTTGACCGCCCAATGCCAGGCTTCTGAGAAGTTCCCTGGAGGGTTACGGTGTCTGATGTAGCAATCGCACATTGGAAATACAAGGAGGAGGCCAAGAGCAGAAGAAACCCCTAGAGTTGATCTACAGCCAACCTCCACCCACTGCCCACTAAGGCTGCCCGTCCACAGGGGACCAGGCCTAGGGAAGGACCAGGCTATCAAGGTTTCCCTGACTTCCAGGGTGCAGAAGACCCCACTGTACAGACAAAGCTGAAGCCACCTCCTTCATCCTGTGAGGGTGGTGGGTTGCCCTAGCTAGGGACGAAAGTCAGAGAGATAGCACAGGGTCAAGGCATTTGACTTGCACACAGCTGACCCCAGATGGACCCTCAGCACCGCCGATGGTCCTTCAAGCACCGCCAAGTGTGAACACAGAGCCAGGAGTAAGTCCTGAGCACTGCTGAGTGTGGCCCCCAAACAAATAAAGCAGAGATAGCAGAAAGGATAGAGCATGAGGTTCTGTGGGTCACATGCCCCCCCAATAACATGCCCTATGGGGCATCCCCCATCTGCATCTTTTCTATCAAATATTCCCCACCCCCCTCCCCAGCATCTTCCCAGTAACCGGCCATTGAAAGCCACAGTTGCAGTTATTGGCACTGTGCTTACTCCTGCTCTAGCTTGGCTCTGGACACACAAGCGAACCCAAATGAAAAAGGATTTGAGGACCAAGTGGTGAGTTTTGGCCTGGGTGTGTCTCCCCAGGGGCCCAGGACACACTAGCCTCCCACGCACTGCTGGTGAGGATGCAGTTTGGAAGGGCATTGTGGAAGGGGGCGTCATTCATCTCTCTGGAAACTGCTCTTACACCACTGGTGGAAGCAACCCAAATGTCTGTCCATGGGCGAAATGGACAAACGGTATGTGGCATAGAGATAGCAGGGGTGATTACTTAGTGTCACAAAGGAGTCTCGTGCCTGGGCCTCGCCAGCTGTGCTCAGGGATCTCTTGACTGACTCCAGGGACCGTAAAGAGTGCCGGCGATTCGATCCGAGTTGGGGCTGTGTGCATGGCAAGCACTCTACCCACTGCACTCTCTCTCCATCTGCCAAAGGAGGCTAATTCTGACTGTAATGTGCACAGATGAATCGCCAAGGCAGTAAAAGTGAAATCAGCCAGACCCAAGAGGACAAGTACCAGTTGACTCCATTCCTCCAGGGTACCTAATAGAGGCTAAGTAGCAGAGACAGAGGAACGGTGGATGTTAGCTGCTGGGGAGAGGGGGAAGTGGGGAGTTACTGCTTAGAGCATGAGGCTCCACTGGGGAGAATGAGAAGTTCAGGCGACAAACGGCGGTGCCTGTTGCATAAAAGGGTGAAGGACTGAAGGCCAGTCAAGCTGTTCTCTGGAAATGGCTCTTTTTGTGTCATGGTCCCGGCCCCTCCCTCCAAGCACAAAAGAATGTGTACAGAGCAAACAAATCATCATACTCTCGCACTCTCAGAGCTAGCAACTCCTCTACTCAAAATGCCCAACGAGGAACAGATCCCCACACTTGCCCAGCGCTGGGGCCAATGGCCTTCGTCGCAGTTGAGTTTCTCAAGAAGCCAGCGAGGGCGCTGACATAAAGTGGGACCCGGAAGGTGGATACCGGGCAGCCGTATGAGGCCATGGAGGCGCGCACAGCCAGGAGGACAGGTTTAAGTACACATCTTCCAGGGGCTGCCAAGTGCTAAAGAGCCAGTTCTGAGCTCGGCCCAGCAAACGTGTGCGTGTGCTTGTGAGAATACGGGAGAAGTCGCCCATGTTTTTCTTTCCCTCTTGAGAGTCATTCCACTATCTCGGCTTAAAGCAGACTCAGGCTTTGAATCCTCAGGCTGCTCTCGTGGCTCTTGTCTATCAAGTGGGGGCAGCAAACAGGGGCTTGTTCTGTGAGGATTTTAAGGTTGGCAACCCCTAGGAAGAGCTAAGGGTCAGGTGTGTGCAATTGACAGTAAAGCTGCTGCCTGGTGAGGGCTTCTCGAAGCGAGGTTTGTATCGGTGTGATGAAGCCGTGTCTGCGGGCATCCGGCCGCTTCAGTTCCCTTCTCACGGGACCTCCTGGCTGTCTGTAGACGTGGCCTCCCTTGGGGCCCTGGAGGATAGAGCCCATCCACAAGGCTTCCGAACCCCCGTTCCAGGGAACCTGCCTGAGCCAGGAAATGGCCTTTGCCACTAGGAACCCGGTTCGGACCAGGGCCTTGGGGGGTGGGGGTGGAGGGGAGGAAGCCACTGGAAAATAACTCAGAGAGAAAATGACTTTCTTCTTCTTTCTTTGTTTTTGCTTGGGGGACACACCCAGTGGCCAGTCATCATCCAGTGATGCTCAGGATTTACTCCCAGTAGTGCTCAGGGGATGATATGGGATGCCAGGGACTGAATCCAGGTTGGCCGCATGTGAGGCAAGCTGTCATATTTCTCCAGCCCCTGAAAAATGTTTTTTCCCCCCTAAGGTGTTTTTGTTTTTGTCTAACATGTAACAAACTCGATAACTTAATAAGCACATTGAATTATGCAGAACACATGTTTTGGTTCCAAAAATAATAAATTTACGAGATTTGTGAAGTGCACTGAGAAAATAAATAGCAGAACATCTTAGATTTCAACCTAAATTCTCACTCCCTTCCTCTCAGAGGTCTTTCTCATCCCCAGACTAGGAAATTTTGGCCCATCCCTGCTCCCAGACAGGAGTGATCCCTGGGAAGTGGGGGGAAGGGGTAAGCCGGATGGCGGGTTCCAGGACTCTGGGGAGGGGGTGCCTTGGGGGCTGGAGGGCTCAGCCTCTACCTCCCTCTACTTTGCAGGAGCCTTCTTCATTCCCTACTTCATCTTCTTCTTCACCTGTGGCATTCCACTCTTCTTCCTGGAGGTGGCCTTGGGCCAGTACACCAGTCAGGGGAGCGTCACAGCCTGGAGGAAGATCTGTCCCCTGTTTCAGGGTGAGTACTCCCCATCATCATGCTCTTCCCGGAGCCCGGGATCACCCATCCCTTCCTTCCAGTCCTGCAGCCTGTGTTGGAGAGGACCTGGGAATAGGCTTCAGACAGACATCCATGGCAAGGGGTGGGGAATGGCGATGGACCCTCCTTAAAAAGGACAAAATTGGACTGCAGAGAGGGTACAGCAGGTAAGGCACTTGCCAAGCCAGGTTTGCTCCCCAGTACCCCATGTGGTCCCCCAAGCACTGCCAGGAGTGATCCCTGAACACAGAACCAGGAGTAAGCCCTGAGCACCACCGAGAGTGGCCCCAAAACACAAAACAAGAAGGACAACATTACAAATGCAGCACGAGCTGCAGAGCATGGGAGACGCGTTTCCTCTTTGCCAGCTCCATGGCAAAGATGTGGCCTGGTTCGAGAGCAGAGCCGGCCGCGGAGAGGTCTCCAAAGTAGGTGATGAGTGTGACAGCTGCGGCGATGTTGAAGATCCCTGAAACTCTTCTGTGTGGCAGGGCTCAAGTCAGCCCTTTGCACGCCTTTCCACATCAGTCCCTCCAACAATAATGCTCTTTCTGTGTGCACGATTTGAACCTACTCCCTGAGCTGAAACTTCATGCTCTTAGGACGTAATTATTAGGTCTCTTAGGACTTAATAATTAGGACTCGTAGAACAGCCCTGCCCTCTCTCAACCTGGTAATGAGTGAGTAGCTTGGGGTGTCCTTCCCCAACACTCTCTTCCTGCATTGGACCAGTCCTCTGGGGGTCCCACTGTAGGAAACCCGATGCTGGAGGGTGTCTCATAGTCTTGGAAAAGTTCTTGGCACCTGTGAACTAGAGGTGGGGTTCTTCATTCCAGGTCCTCAGAGGACCCCCAGGATTAGACTTGATTTCTTGCCTCACTCTGAAACTCCAGGCAGAGGTGGGCATACTGGGGCAACACTGGGTCCCCAGCTGGCTGGAAGCCTGGACAGTGCACAGTGCACGGGGTGTGTGAGGCAGAGAATCTAGCACAGTGATGATTTATTTGGGGACCTACAATGAATCCCTGGGGAGCAGGGCTATTTGGCCCACCCAAGTCTGCTCATTTTGGACAAACTTGCAGGCTACCGAATGTAACCTGCCCACATGGCAGAGTCTGGCAAACTGCCCGTGGCGTTCCCAATATGCCAAATACCAGTAACAATGATGGGTCTCATTCTCCTAACTCTGAAAGGGCCTTGAATATGGCACTTTTCTAAAAATCTCAGGGCTAGGACGAAGGAGACGTTACTGGGGCCTGCTCGAGGCAATCCACGAATAACAGGATGATCCTGATCGTGAATGAATCCCTGCTCATTTCTTCTGTGACTGCAGCCAAGGCACAATTCCTGGGGGTTCTGTTCCAAACCCCTGAAGGTGCCCAGCAGTGCTCGATTCCTTGGGCTCAGCGAGCCCAGCAGTGGCAAGGGCTGACCTCTCAGGGGTTCAGGCACCAGGGCTTTTAGCCCTTCTAGGCCTGGACGCTCAGCATCAGGCTCAGGCAAGGCGTGTGCTTCTATACTGGCATGATTTATTTGGGGACCTACAATGAATCCCTGGGGAGCAGGGCTATTTGGCCCACCCAAGTCTGCTCATTTTGGACAAACTTGCAGGCTACCGAATGTAACCTGCCCACATGGATGAGGATACAAACGACCTGCCTAAATTCCCGCCCCCTGTCCCGCCCCCCACCTTTGTTCTATTTTCACCGTGCCAGGAGCCTGTGCCCAGCTTGGACACAGGAAACACTGCCGTATTCCCTCATACCCACCCTAACTTACACCCAGGCCCTTGTCGCTACCCTATACCTTGGCCTGCAGGCAGGGCCATCCCCTGCGCTCGCCCCGCCCCCTGCACTCGCCCCGCCCCTTGCACTAAGCCCCGCCTCGCACCGAGCCCCGCCCCTGAGCCATGCCCCGCCCCTGAGCCCCGTGCCTGCCCCGCCCCCTGCGCTTGCCCCGCCCCTTGCACTAAGCCCCGCCCCGCACTAAGCCCCGCTCTTGAGTCATGCTCCGCCCCTGAGCCCCCTGCCTGTTCCGCCCCCTGCCTGTTCCGCCCCCTGTCTGTTCCGCCCCCTGTGTTCGCCCCGCCCCCTGCACTGTGCCCCGCCCCACACTAAGCCCTGCCCCATCCATGCCCCGCCCCTGAGCGCCTGCCCCGCCCCTGGAGGTAGGTAAGGGTGTTTTTTTTCTTTTCTTTTGTTTTTATAGTGAGACATCATGAGGTACAGTTGCAGACTTACACATTTTTGTGCTTGGGTTTCAGTTATACAATGATCAAGTACCCATCCCTCCACCGGTGCCCATTTCCCACCACCACGGATCCCAGTATCCCTCCCACCCCCCACCCCCCATCCTCCCCATCACACCCTGCCTCTGTGGCAGGGCATTCCCTTTTGTTCTCTCTCTCTTATTGGGTGTTGTGGTTTGCAAAGGAGGCAATGGGTGACGATCATGTTTGGTCTAGAGTCTACTTTCCGCATGCCCTTCGGGGTTTCGCAGCACAGCGCGTTCTGGCGGCCACGGCAGAACAGTGACCGCCTGTTTTGGTGTTTGGGTGTCTGCACGGGTGTTGTGTGTGCACGCTCTAAATACGCCGTGGTCAGCGGCCAGCTCCTCGGTCCTCAGCAGCCCCAGCCTTCTCCCCTCTGCTGCCAGAGTCTTTGGGGAAAGGTCGGTCTCGAGGAGTCGCAGAGCGCCCCCAAAGCAGGAACAACCTACCTGGCTCCAGCTGCCTTTTCCAGGCCCGCAGGGACAGTCAGGGTGGGCTCATCTGATATAGACTGTGGGGGTGGTGTCGGCGTTGACCTTTGACTCTGCGTTTGCTCCTTAAATAGCCCAGGAGCTTGGACTGGCACGTGCCCAGCTAAGTGCAGAACCCACGGGCTAGCCATAAAGGGGGTGTCGGGGAGGAAAGAGGGGCGAGGGGGATTCCTCCTGGTCCTCCCTGGCTGCCACAGCAGGACCAGCAGCCGCCCTGGCAGCGGGCTGCCTTCCCTTGCTCCCTCCTTCCCGCCACTGGTTTCCTCCAGGATGATGCTCAGAGACTGAGGCTGGGCCCACACTCTGGGCTGGCGCAGTGCTCGGCTCCAGGCTGCTCCGCCCTCTTCCAGGACGCCTTCTTGGACTTGTTCGGTCTGATTCTTCCCAAGTTTCCTCCACTCCCTCCTGTGTTCTTTCTGCCCCTAGCTCTTTGTTTGTCTTGAAAAAACCATGTCAACAGACAAAAGAGAAAGAAAAAAGAGACCTTGATAAGTTTCAAACCTGAGGTCCTATCACCAAGATAGGGACCTTGATTTCTGTGGCTTTTTCGGGTTTGGGGTTCACACCTGGTGGTGCTCAGGGGCTCTTCCTGCTGTGGGTTTTATGGGGTCCATATAGTTCGCTTTTGAATGATCAACCTTTGAGAATTTCTCACATATGTATGTAATCATAAGTAATACATATATCATATGTGTTATACATATAATGTGTATGAGAAAAGTTACATAATGACAAAGAATGCATAGGGTAGTGCTCTGTAAACCTGCTTTCAGAAGACTCTGCTGGAAATTACTTCTCGTACCAACAGACAAACCCCAAGTATCAAGGCCCACTGAGCCCACTGCGGTGGCTATCTGCCCTTTCTCCAGCTTACACTAACCCTCTTGTTCTCCCTGTCCCTTCCCGCCTCTGGAAGGCATCGGCCTGGCGTCTGTGGTCATTGAGGCCTATTTGAACATCTACTACATCATTATCCTTGCCTGGGCTCTCTTCTACCTGTTCAGCTCCTTTACCTCACAGCTGCCCTGGACCACCTGCAACAATTACTGGAACACAGGTATCTCCTGCAGCCTGGGGACAGGGCCTGCCCCTCGGGCTGGGTTCAGGTGGCTGGGATGGTGAGCAGTGATGGTGCGTGTGCCAGAACTTGTTTTAGAGTTGTGCCAACTCCCCCCTTCTGAGGGATCTAGAGGGACTACCAACAGGAGAACCCCAAACCCAATGAACTGTGGGTGGGTCATAAAACTGCTGGAGGTTATCATCACTCAGGCTTATTGTTCAATGTTTATTGTGCACCCACTATGAGCTCAGCACCATGGCAGGTGCAAGAGATCCAAGGGTGAGCCCCATCCCTCCCAAGGGTCTAGTGGCAGAATGTGTATATGTGTGTATGTGTGTATGTGGGGTATCTCAAGTGGTGCTCAGGAGGCCCAAGGGCTGCTTCTGGCCATAGTAAACTGGGTTTGGTGGTTCAGTGCTAGGGCACGAGGCTGTGCTCCCCACCCTGCCCATCACAGAGATATTGGGGGCCACAAGGGCCACCCTGATGATACTAGTGGATCTCCAGGACCGCATGTAGTCGTTCTTGGGATGCCATGTAGTGCTGAGGGCTGAACGTGGTTGGGAACATGCCTTACGCACACCCTAGCCCCTGTAGGATCTCCCCGGCCCCAGAAACAAAGTTGATGGGACAGTGACATATTGTGATGGGTAGAAGAAATAGAACAGCAACAATATGTGGGGTGTGAGGGAGGGGTGGTAGAAGTGTTAGCTGAGACCTGACAGGTGAGGAAGGGCCCTGGGGACAGCAAGGGGAGGTGAGCATACAAAGATTCAGTCCGTTGAGAGGAGGGAGAGATGATGGTTTAGGGGTGGGCCATCCACGTGGGGACAGAGTGCACTGAGTCTGGATGGCGTCAGAAGTTGAGGGGAGGCTGAGAGTCACATGATCCTCTGGAAGAAGAACAAGGTGGGGCACACGGGAAGGGGCCTGGCCCACGCACTCTGAGAAGTCAGCTCGGGGAGGGGGGGGTGTTCCAAAGGCAGCTCTTGGGAATGAGACCTCCCAGGTTGCAGGTGGAGGCTGGGGGTGGGGATGGGGGACAAAGGGGGGGAAGGGCCTCTTGTCATCTTGTCCTTGACTGTCTGGACCCAACCTTGTCCCCAACAGAGCATTGCATGGACTTTCTGAACAAGTCTGGAGCCAGCTTGGCCGCCTCTGCTGAGAACTTCACCTCGCCGGTCATAGAATTCTGGGAGTAGGTGCTGAGCCCTGCTGCCACAGCCCAGGGCCCCGGCACGGGGGCTTGGATGTCTGAGCCTCGGACTTGGGGTGTACACTTAAGGCTCTCTCTGCGTGCTTCCCAGCATTACTTACTCCCCGCTCAGACCCCCCCACTTACCAGACCCATTCAGACCCTTATCCAACAACACATTAGCACCTGCACGCTCACTTAACACCAGATCCACCTGTCCCCTTAGCCACGCTTGTTTATTCGTGTACGCTTACACCCACACCCACCTGCACACCTACCCCCCATCAACTTGCATTGACTCACTGCCCCACACATCACCAGAGGTGCGCTGGAAATAGTCCAGACCAGTTTAGGAATGCCAGTGTGCACTTCTCTTCCCAAAGCCATGCTCGGTGCGGGTAGCTTGGGAAAGGATTTAGGCCCTAGGAACCCACTCTCATAATCGACCCTCTGCCCTGGCTACTTCCACCTTCACAGCCACCCATGCCCACATATGTCCACCTCATTCCCATGCAAGTCTCTTACACCCTCACACTTAACTAAAACCCAACTCACTCCCACGGTTGTCCACTCTCACACAGAGATGTATGCCCACAGCTGTCCAAAACACACATTCACCACATACACACACCACATTTTCATGACCCCAGATGCAGCAAGCAGCTTTATATATTGACACACGTTCAGCCACTCATATATATAAATATATACTCATATATATAAATATATACTCCCTACAGACTCATTCATAGTCTCTCTCTCTCACACATGCTCACTCTCTCTCTCTCTCCCCTCTTTCACTCTGTAGAATGGAGAAGTCTGTATGAGTTAGAAAGACAGAAAGACAGAGATACTAATGGGAATCAGCAAACAGCCAGGGACATGCAGCCCCCAGGTGGGAAGGGAAGGTGGCGTGTGCGTGGTGGTAGGCTGGCAGGGGAGTGGTGTCCGGTAGTCTTTCACCTGGTGGTTTCCTTCCCCTGCCCAGGAGACGTGTTCTGAGCATCACCTCTGGCATCCACGATCTGGGCTCCCTGCGCTGGGAGCTGGCGCTGTGCCTCTTGCTCGCCTGGATTCTTTGCTACTTCTGCATCTGGAAGGGGGTCAAGACGACAGGCAAGGTGAGGTGTTGGGGCTCTCCGTGGTCCCCAGCGTGCACAGGGACTGAGGGAAAGAGAGGCTGGAGGCGACAGCACAGCTAGAGCAGAAGTCACGGAAGGCAGAGTTCAGCTGGAGACAAGGGTCTCTTCTGCAAAGAAAGGATTTCTTGGGGCTGGGCAGGGGCAAGACACTTGCTTTGCCTCTGGCCGACCTGAGTTTGGTGCCTCAGCCCCATAAGGTCCCCAGAGCCCTGCCAGAGATGATTCCCAAGCACAGAGGCAAGAGGAAGCGCCGAGCGCCTATGGGTGTGCCCCCCCAACCCAACCCCCTTTCTCCCTCCCCTCCAGTAAAAGAAAGAGGATTTCCTTTCCCATATGACTTTGATAGACTTGTTTACAGGAAATTGAGAGGCACGAGTGGTGGAAAGCTTGCTCAGTGGATTTTCAAACCACTAGGAATTATGGCAGAGGTTGTGAGGAAAAGAGATACTGAGCCATTTGATCGACACAGAAGTCTTAAACTTGGAGGGTCGTGAGTTTGCAAATTTGTGGCTGAGATGAACTGAAAAGCAGCAAAGGTGTAAGCCAGGCACTGCAGGAATGTGAAAGGCTGATGACATGGACTTTAGAGGAGATGGGAGGTTTAGAGAGGAGGGAGAAATAATGGCCTGGAAGCACCATGATTTGGTTAAGCAACTGATTTCCGGCTAAGATTAACTTTGGGATGGTTATCGTAATAGGTTACAGGGGTTATTGTTGAAATGTTTCACTGCCAATGAAATGTTTCAATGTCAATGGCATTTCACTGTTGCTTTTGCCAGGTGAAAACTAAGAGCCTTTTGCCCTGAATTCAGAACAAAATTTAAAAATTCTTCCTGTCCAAGCTAAGCACCGCTTAAGTTGTCAGCATGAGGATAGGGCGGGCTGCATGGCCCAGTGATCCTTGTTAACGTTTTGCTGTCTGAAAGTCTAGTTTCTTAAGGATACCCGTGTGTTTTGGTATCTCTATTTGGAGGGCTGCTCTGAAGTGGTGCTGAGAGGCTCAGGTGTGTGTCTGTATGTGGGAGCGGGGGGTGGGGGGGTGGACACCTGTGTTTCTTGGTCAGCCAGCCCAGGGCTTCAGTGCAAGGGCCCACAGACGTGACACTGTTCAGTTCCCGGGTCACCCCCAAGGTGCTGGAGGCCTCCAGGGCTGCCTTGGCAATGCTTAGGACCATGTGGTGCTGGAGATCAAGGTCCAGTGCCTGGCAGTAGCCTTCACTGCGGCTCCATCTCCCTGCCCCTGGAAGGTCTCTGCTATGTTTGTCTGACACGTTCGGATCCTCTACTCTGACGGGCTCTTTGCGTTTGACAATACGCCAAGACTGTTTCTGAACTCCCCAACAGAGCTGTCTTTGAAGTGGTGAGCTTGCCAGCATGACAGGGGTTCAAGCTAAGAATGGGAAGTAGTAGCTTGAATGCTAAGAGAGAGTTCTTTTTGGTTCGGTCTGCTTGGGGACCCTCCCTGGGCTGTGCTCGGCGCTTCGCTCCTGGTGGGGCTCAGGAAGTCACAGGTGGTGCCAGGGCTCAAATGCAGGCTGGCTGTGTGCCAGGCAAGCACCCTACTGGCAATCCTCTCTCAGCCCCTGGCCAGAGTTCTGACTGTGATGATTATTCCCCCCGCCTCCCCTCGAAACTCTGGGACCGAGGCTGCGTCATGCTCTGGGACGCTGGGACAGACGGCCGGGACAACTTCTCTATCCCTAAGCAACTTTCCTGGATTGTGGTCAAAATAAGAATAACAGCCTGATGACAGTGACAACACAGGGATGCAGAGAGCATGGCAGTGGGGGCAAGGGTCTGGCTCAGGGACAGAGAGGGGGCCCCTCTCTGCATCCCCGTTGTCCCCAGCCACTCCCCCACGCTGCCCCCTTCTCCAGCCTGGAGAGCAGGGGCCAGGACCCTCCTGATCCCGGCTTCCGCCTGCGCCCCTTCCCCTGCTCAGCCGGGAGACCCACCCTCACCGTGGGGCAGGGGAGAACAGCCAGGCACAGGCATGGAGGGAGAAGGTTTAAAAATAGGCCTGGCAGTGTTGTGACTGGAAACTTGTACCCTGCTGCCTCCCTGCACCCGGCCTGCTGATGTGTATCTCGGGCTGACGGGGAGCCGGGCCCTGCAGGAATGTGAGAGGCAGGTGTGGAAAGTTTCCTGTCTTCCCGCCCTCCCCCGCCCAGGAGGCTCCGAGGGTCCAGACACTGGACTGTGTGTGCAGGAGACGCCTGCAGAAGGGGCCGGAGGGGCCAGAGGGGGCCAGAGGGTCGCCGAAGAGGCTGGCGTGTGTGTCCCCCCGCACCGGGACTGACCTCAGCCTGCTCCCCTGCAGGTGGTGTACTTCACAGCCACCTTCCCTTACCTGATGCTAATAGTCCTCCTCATCCGGGGCATCACGCTGCCCGGCGCCTACGAGGGCATCATCTACTACCTGAAGCCGGACCTTCTCCGCCTCAAGGACCCCCAGGTAGGGGCTGTGCTGGGGGCTGTGTGCTCCTCCCCTCCCTGACTCCCAGCCCCGCCACTAAAGTAATTCTTTTGGTGTGGTTGCTTGGGGGAGGGGGAGGGAGATACCTGGCGATGCTTTGGGGGCTGTGTGGCACCAGGGCTCGAACCCGGGGCTTCAGCATGCAAGGCTGAAGCTCACGCCCCTGGAGGCATCTCCTGGTCCCTCCACCATTTCCCTCCCGCCCACCCCCCACACACCACATCTTCCAGACACAAGATTTGAAACTATCGTGCTGCTTTTCTCTTGGTTTAGTGGCCACCGTGCCCAGAGGAGAAAAATTAGAGGATAGGAGAGAAAATAACCAAAACGGAATGAAAAAAGCTTGTGTCATCCCACCGCTCAGCTGTAACCCGTTAGCATTTCAGGATATTCCATTCCAACTCTTTTTTTTCCTCCTTGAGGGCGCGTGGGTGTCTGTTTTAACAGAGTTGAGATAATTATATAAAGACATATCCTTTTTTACTTCAATTATACTGTAAGCACTTTCCTATGTTATTAAATTCATTTGTAAGTGTCATTTTTAACACATGCATAATATTCCTCCACCCACCATCCATTGGTTCGTTCATTTAGTCCTTCATTCAAAAAAAATACCAGTCAGCAGGACTTGGCACCAAAGGGGTCCTCGGGACATTTTTGTTGACTGACTCAGCAGATGGGGGTGGAGGGGAGTGCGAAGAGTTGGGCTGCGGGAGGGCAGGGCACAGTGCAGACCAGGCTTCGTGGCTGAGTTCAAAATTCCTTGGAGGAATCCAATCTCACACTCCGGGAGCTTCCCAGGGGCCCACAGAAGTGAGGAGCAGGGAGCCCCAGCTCCCCTGCAAGAAAATGTCTCTAGGTGGAAACTTGACTCCTGGGGGGGGGGGGGGGGAGAGGCGGGGAGGCTGGGCTGGACGTGATGAGGGAACACGGGATGCCGTGTGGTCCCTGCACCAGGCCTGGGCCCCGCCCCCTGACGCCCCTTCTGCTCTCCTCGGGGGTCCCCGAAGGTGTGGATGGACGCGGGCACCCAGATCTTCTTCTCCTTCGCCATCTGCCAGGGTTGCCTGACAGCCCTGGGCAGTTATAACAAGTACCACAACAACTGCTACAGGTAGGCCTTGGGGGGAAGGGGGAGAAGGGTTTGGGTGGACTTGGGGACCCCCTGCTGCCTGTCTGGGGTCCCAGGCCGGGACCCTCGAGGTGGGCTTCAGGGCTTAGTTCTTACTGACGTGGATGGCGAGCTGTGTCAGCGCCAGGGGCTCTTCTCCCCGTGGCCCTTCTTTCTTCTCTCCCTTTCCTGTCTCGCCTCACGGTGGCCGTGCGACCTCGGGCCCGCCCGTCCTCCCGCCTCTGCTGTGTCTCTTCTGTCCGCTTTCCCCTTCCCGGCCACTCTCCTCCGCCCTCTTTTTGTCTTTTCATTCCTTTTCCTGATATATTGGGGATGGAAGGTGGCAGGGCATGGGTGGGGCTCTTGGGGACCCCCCCCTTGATTGTTCGTTAACTGGACTAGAGGCTCAGTGCGACTGCCCCAAGAGGCGGTACTGTGGGGGTCCTGCCATGTTTGGGGGCGTCCAGGGCTGCACCCGGCGGTGCTCAGAGGAACAACCCAGGCTGGTGCACGGAAGGCAGGCGCCTCCCCCCACGCTGTCTCTCGGGCCCCCCAGGTGGCTTTCTGGCTCCCCTTTTCTCCCTCTCATATGGGCGTGGCCTGGTCACAGGGACTGCATCGCCCTCTGCGTCCTGAACAGCGCCACCAGCTTTGTGGCCGGCTTCGTGGTCTTCTCCATCCTGGGCTTCATGTCCCGCGAGCAGGGGGTCCACATCTCAGAGGTGGCCGAGTCGGGTAGGTGCCCCCTGACTGTCCGGGACCTGGGAGGAGGGAGGGTCCAGTGTCAGAGCTCCAGGGCTGGGGAGGGGAACCCGGTCAACCCGGGTCGACAGACGAGCTCCCCCCCCCCCCCCCCGCCAGAGTCTGAAGAATGAATGGGTGGGCAGCACGTGCCCCAGAGCCTGGGGAAAGCAGGACGATCAGGGGCGCACCCCACTTTCCTGAGCCCAGCCCCTACACCTGCCCCTGCAGACACACACACGCACATGCACACACACACACACACACACACACACACACACACACACACACACGTGCCCTGCCGTGGGGCTCCTCCGTGGGGGTAGAGAGTGCCCAGAGTCGGCCTAATAGTGCTATGTGACTGGCAGGTCCGGGCCTGGCTTTCATCGCCTTCCCCAAAGCAGTGACAATGATGCCCCTATCGCAGCTGTGGTCCTGCCTTTTCTTCGTCATGCTGATCTTCCTGGGGCTGGACAGTCAGGTAACCCGCCCCGGCCCAGCCTGGCCTGCCTGCCCCGTCACTCGCCTTGCCAGCGGCTTGTCTTGCTGTCCCTCCTTCCTTTCCCCCGACCCCTGACGACATTCTGGGACTCGTCCTACGAGGGGGGTGACCTCAGGCCTTGCCCCTGTTTTGTTTCTCCAGACTTGACCTGCCCAGGCCCCTAACTGGCTCCCAAGTCCCCCCAAAATGGTCCCTTCAGCCTGTCACCTGCCGAACCCAAGACCAAATGTCTCTCTCTAACCTCAGCTCTGGCCCCAGAACTGTGGGGGTGGACCCGGGGCGGGGCTGGCCTCCTCCCGGGACACCCCTCGTGGCCCTGGCCGTCCCTGCGCCCCCGTGAGTGGGATGCTCACCCCTGCCCTCCCGGCCCGCAGTTTGTGTGTGTGGAGTGTCTGGTGACGGCGTCCACCGACATGTTCCCCAGGCAGCTGCGCCAGAGCGGCCGGCGGGAGCTCCTCATCCTTGCCATCGCCATCATCTGCTACCTCATCGGACTCCTGCTGGTCACCGAGGTGTGTGGGCGCCCTCCAGAGCACATGCTTCTGTCTTGCTGCCTGGCAGCAAGCTTGCTGGGCTGGCTCAGGCCCCGCCCGTGCCAGGGAGCAGCCAGGAGGTGGCATGGCACAGAAGTGGAAGCGCACCGTGCGGGTCTCGGCAGAAAGGGGGTGGGGGGCAGTGTCTGGCGGTGTCCTGGTGGTGGTGAGTTAGCTCAGTGGTCTGAACACGCTGTCAGGGACACACACACCTGTCTCTCCCCGCCCTGGTTGCCTCCCTGAGCTCCCTCCTGATAGGAAGCGGGCCGAGGGTCTCCAGTTGGCCAGCATCCCGCCTTGCGGGTGCGGGGGGGGAGCAGGGAGGGGTGGGTTTCTGGAGAACGGGAGGCCCTGTCCTGGCAGGTGTCGAGCAGCATGGGAGGAGCCCTGTGGCAGGGCCAGGCTCCTTCTCCCCAAGGCTGTGCTCCTCTCACTGTGTGTGTGTGTGGGGGGGGAGCGGGTGTGTCCCCCAAAGCCAAGGTCCCAGCCCCCTGCCCCTCCAGGGCGGGATGTATGTCTTCCAGCTGTTTGATTATTACGCCTCCAGCGGCCTCTGCCTGCTGTTCCTCGCTGTCTTCGAGGTGGTCTGCATCAGCTGGGTGTATGGTAAGTGGGGGGACAGGCCACAGCTAGGAGTGGTCCCGGGCAGAGGTGGGCTGTGCTGCTTCTCACCTTCTTGGACTCTTGGAGTTGCTGAGCTGGGTCTTTTTGAAGTGTGTGTGTGTGTGTGTGTGTGTGTGTGTGTGTGTGTATGCGTGGTTGAGTGTGAGAATGTGTATGCATGTGAGTGTGCATGAGTGTGTTTGAGTGTATGAATGTGTGAGCACGTGTGAGTGTGTATAAGTGTATATGTATGTGAGGGTGAGCATGTGTGTGCGTGCTTGCCCAAAGGGGACAGATCCCTTGCTGGGAACATTTACGTCATGGGGGATGGAGCAGAGAAGGAGGAAAGTGAGGTGCAGGAGCATGGTAGGAACCGCATTGCTGGTAGGAACCTCCTACCCATGAGTCGGAACCTCATTCCTCTTCCCGAGCTGGAGCGAGGGTACAGCACGTGGGGCGCTGGCCTTGCATGTGCCCCAGGTTTGAGCCCCGCAGCCCGATGGGGCCCTGATGCCCCTCCGGAATGATCCCTGAGTGCGAAGCCAGGAGTAAGCCCTGAGCACTGCCAGGCGTGACCCCCAAACAAACACGGTTTCCTGAAGTCCATCCTACACTTCCTTGCCCTGAACCCAGTTCTGCCACCCATGAACTGCATCCTCAGCAGCCGTGACCCTCTCGGCATCCAGATAACTCACCAGGGTGCCGGCCCGTGAGAGCCCACGATCACGGTCATTGTGCTGGATGACAACAGTGGCGTCAGGGTTGTGCAGTGTCCCTGCTGTTCGCTGCCTGTGCCCACGCTCACTGTCCACCTGCTGGCCTTCCTCGGGGAAGGTGAGGCCCAGAGACGTGAGGCATCTTGCCTGAGCTCACACAGCAGGAAGTGGAGAAGCCAATTTCACAGCACATGAATGTCCCATCTGCCTGGCTCTGGCTCTGAGGGCCCGGGGACGGGGGAGGGGGGGAGACCTGGCCAGTGCCATGGCCTTCGGGCAGGTTCGGCACCCCCACGTGGGCAGCCCCCATGTCCTGCTGGGGACCCTTTCCTTGTGTCCCTCTCCAGCACTGAATCTTCTGCTTGTCCCACTTGTCTGAGAATATCAGTTTTCAACTGGGTCCCCCCCCCCGATATTCCAAGGGGGGGCTATAGGTGGCTATCGTGCCTAGGTGGGGTGGGGGAGGGGGGCCAATAGCATGAGACTGGGGGACCAGAGGCAGGACGGGGGGTGCAGGAAGGAAACAGGGCTGAAGAGGACACGGTTGGCACGAGTCGCGCCAACTTTTCCTGGGTCCCGGCAGGTTGGGTGTCAGGCTCTGAACTGGGGAGCCAGCTCAGACACAGCAGGGGCTTGAATGACTGTGTTTCCTGGCAGGAAGACGGTTCCCAGTGCTGGGGTGGGGGTAGGAGGGGGAGGGGAAGTGCCTAGATGAGCGGGGCCTGCCTCGCACCAGCGCAGATGGGGTGGGGTGGGGTGGGGGGTCCACAGAGCTGACAAGAGCTGTCAATGCTAGCTGTGCCCCCCCCCCCAGCACGACCCAGTCCTGACCAGTCACCGCTGGGAGCAACTGGTGCCCAGGGCCTTGCTGTGCTTTGGTCCCGGGGCATGGTGGGCACAGCTGCCAGGACCTGAAGCTCTTTGGCTGTGTGGCCGATTCGACCTGAGCCTGAATCTAGCTTGGCGGGGCAGACCCACAAGCCCCTCGGTGAGGCAGGCAGGAGGGCCATGTCCTCCCCACAGAGGGGGCCTCGGCCCTGGGAAGGGGCAGCGATGAGAGCACGGCCCCGGGGAGGCTTCCACCTGCCCCAACTACCCCTTCTATTCTCACCTGCACCCCCCGTACCTGGCAGGGGCCAACCGCTTCTATGACAACGTCGAGGACATGATTGGCTACCGGCCCTGGCCCCTGGTGAAGATCTCCTGGCTCTTCCTCACCCCTGGACTCTGCCTGGTAACCCCCGCCCGCTCTTGGCTCCTCCTGTCATCCCCCCTGCCTGTCCCTCTTCCCTTCTCTTCAGGGTCCCTCTCATCCTGCTCACTTGGCCAGCACTGTCATCTGTTGTGACTCCTGCTCCATCGAGCACCCTAGTTGCCAGGCCTTGGGTGTCTGTGTGTCTGTCTGTCTGGGCTCCTCTGTCATCCCCTCCCCCCTCACCCCCGCCCCTCCCAGGCGCCATTCCCTGTCTCAGGACAGGAGCGACGCTGTGTGACTCACGCTGTCCCAGCTGGCGCATCACCTTGCATCCACGCCCTGTTCTCCGTGGACGGGTACTCACGTCTCCAAGGGGTTGGCGGGGGGCCATGGCATGCTCTGATCTGCCTCTGGCCCTCTCCAGGCCACTTTCTTCTTCTCCCTGAGCAAGTACACGCCTCTCCGGTACAACAACATCTACGTGTACCCGCCCTGGGGGTACTCCATTGGTTGGTTCTTGGCTCTCTCCTCCATGGGCTGCGTCCCACTCTTCATCATCATCAGCCTCCTGCGGACCCGGGGCTCCTTCAAGAAGGTAGGAGCTGGGGAGGAGGGAGCCCTTAGGGGAGGCTGCGGGAGGGGCCGGACTTCAGGGGCCCCAGTTCAGGGTGAGGGGAAGAGCCCTTTGGCACAGTAGAGTCTCAGGCACCAGGGTCTTTGAAGACCAAACCAGCGGCTTCATTTTCAGAAATGCCCGGAAGTTGCAGAGTCCAGAGCCTCATCCTCTGGGTCGACTGACCAAGGTGGGGTCAGATGCTGAAGCGGTCATGTCTTGTCTATCTCCTCTTCTCTCCATAGCGCGTGCGCCAGCTCATCACCCCTGACCCCAGCCTGCCACAGCCCAAGACCCAGCTGAGTGTGGATGGTGGCGCCAGCCAAGACTGCAGAACCCCCGCCACCAAGGAGGCACTGGTCACTGGGGAGAAGGAGACCCACCTGTAGGATGTGGCCAAAAGCCAGGTGATGGCTGAGGCCAGGACCTCAGTCAGTGTCATGCTCTACCCCCAATGGACAGCCTTTGCTTCTGTCCCCTACCACAGTACTGCTGACCACCTCCGTGCTGTACCTGGGCAGCCCGGACAGAGGCCAGACGCCCATCAGCCGGAGCAGCACCTCCTGGAGGGCCAGAGAAGGTCCCGCTGAGCGTGCCATGCTGTCAAGGGACTCCAATGGGAACATCTCGCCCTGTTTCTCGAGGAGGGTGTCCTTTTGAGTCACTGTTGAGTCGCACCCTGTGTAATGGGGAGGAGGGGCGGCTCCTGCAAGAGCTTACTCGGTGTGTGTGTTGGGAGGGTAGTGCCAGCCAGCGCCCACACTGTGCCCTCACCAAGAGACCCGAATGGAACACACCACGATGGAAGCGACAACTGGATGCCCCCCCGCCATTGGATCTGATGTTCCCTATGTGTGGGGGTCCCGTCCTAGGCCCCACACTCTGGATTACCTACGGAGGGAACTAGAGGAACAACAGAAGTGGGGTTAAGGGGGGCTTCTAAGCCTTCCCATGCCTCCTTGTCTTGGGCTTTCTCAGCGGCGGTTCCTGCAGTTGGGCCCAGCTCAGTGCTGCTTCCACCCTCTTTCTGAACTATAGCCATCTCCCCAGGGGTCACTGGCGCGGAAGAGACGTAGAGATGACCGCTAGACGTGCCCCATCCATGACTGTTGCCTCGGCTCTCCATTTTGGCACACGGGGCAGGCATGGCCAATCAATGACCCTCAGGGCAGACCTGGGTAATCAACTACAGACCCCTGACCCATGCACAGTTCCTCCGCGGCGCTCCCGACCCAAGGAGGCTCCGTTTGCACCCTGCTGTTGTCTAACCCCGTGGCTTCACGGAAAAGGAAATGGAGGACCCAAGAGATGAAGTGACTTTTTTTCCCCAGCTGCCCACAGCTCCCGTCCCCCTGTCAGGCCAGTGTTCTTCCCGCCACACCCCTCTGCCTAGTTAAAAGCGTGTGTAGACCCTCGGCCACCTCGTGCTCGCATTCTTCACCTGGTCTCGCTCTGTCCAGTTCCACTGTCTGGAGTCCGAGAGCCAAGAGGTCTCTCTGATGAAGAGGTGACAGCTCTCCTCAGATCGGGGCCCCGTGTTGGTGTTTTCTCTGCCAGCCCGTACTCACCCCTCTGAAGTGCCCTTTCCATCAGACTTTCCGCTGGATGCCCGGGGGGGGCTGGGAGAGCACCAAGGACATGGCAGAGAGGAAGGTGGGGCGAGGGAGCGATCTCTGTTCCTTCTCACCTCTCCCTCCCTTTCTCAGCTCCTTGGGTCCACCTTCCTCTGCTGTGTCCCTTCCCAATTCCTCGGGATCCTGCCCTTGGCTGGGGAAAGGCTTCCCGCCAGGTAGTAAGGTGGGGCTTGGGCAACTTCTGTGTTCTTGGCTCCGGAGGGAAGCGAGGAGTTGGAGTTTCTTCGGGCTAGGCATTCTCCTGGGGCAGAAGCTGGGAGCAGGAAGTACGGGGTGGGCTGGGAGGGCACACAGGGTGGGAAGGGAAGATGCACACAGAGCCCAGGGGCTGGAGTTGGAACCCACAGGTCTTGGGCCAGGGCGATGCCGGGTGCTTGCCCTGCACGTGGTCAACCCAGGTTTGATCCCGGCACTCCATCCCCCCCCCACCCCGAGTACTGCCAGGAGTAATCCTTGAGTGCAGAGCCAGGAGTAAACCCTGAGCACAGGCTGGGTGTGGTCCAAGAGCTAAAAAATAAAGACAGAGTCTCACGCAGGGCACCCCCAGATCTGTGGGGCGGGGCTTTTCAGTCTGTTAGGTACAGACTGGTATTGGATCTGGGAGAAAGGGATGGAGAGAAACCATACTTCCGCTAGATTTTTCCCTTGGTGAGACTCTCTCTCTCTCTCTCTCTCTCTCTCTCTCTCTCTCTCTGTGTGTGTGTGTGTGTGTGTGTGTGTGTGTGTGTGTCTCCCCAGGGGCATGGTTCTCTCTGCTGCCCCCTGGTGTCCAGTGGGAGCAGCGCCGCCTCCCTTGGCCCTGCTCAGCCCCTTCTTGCTTCAGCTGCAAAAGAAACACCCTCCCTAGCTCCATAGCCCCTTCCTTTGCCCTCGCGCTCGGAAAGGGCTTGCCCTCTGGGAGCCCAATACTGCCTGTACCCTCCTCCCCACGACCCGGTGGAGCTGGCTAGCTTTGGGGCAGCTCTGCTTCTCGGCTGCCACCCGCCAGCCCCACAGCTGGCCCGCGTGGCAACGGCAGCCTGTCTCCTGGCAGCTCTTGGGCACGAGCCCCCTCCGCTTTCGACCACGAAGGCCACTCACTACGAAGGCCACTCTCCCGGTCTCTGCAGACCGTCCCTTCCTTCCGCCCTCTCCCACCTTCCCCGGGCACAGACTCCCTGCTGCCCCACTTCCCGGGCCTCGCGGGCCTCTCCGCCAGCCCAGGCCACTGCTGTCTGCCGCAGCGCCTCCCTCTGTGGCCTCATCCATCCGGGGCCTCTGGGCGGGGGTCCGACAACATGCAGATGTGACACTGCAGTGTTTCTTGCACACGACCCATGTGGGTTCGATCCCTGGCACCACGTATGGTCACCTGAGTTCCTGCCAGGGGACAGGCCCCGAGAACAGCCGCTGTGGCTGCCCAGGTCACAACACAGAGTGGTGGGCCAGGGCGGGCTGGGGCAGGCAGGGACTTAAGAGGCCCACTCACACAGCCACTACTATGGTTCTCACGTAGAGCCGTGTGCACACACGTGTGACCTGTGTCTATGAAGGAGGAGCAGGCCCCAGGGACAGAGAGCAGGTGTGCTCTCAGCTTATCTCTGAGGCTGGGAGTGTCCGGCTGGCGGCCAAAGGCCTACCTTGGCAGGTCTGGTTCGTGTGGCCCACAGGGGGGTTGGTTGTTTCCCTAAAGGCAACTACTTTTAGGCTCTCTGCAGCCTCTTGCCACGGGCTCCCTCTGATAAGTCCCTGACTTTCCCATAGTCCTGCTTGAAGCCTGGTGAACTCACAGCCCGGGCCCTCCGGGGAAGAACTGAGGAACCAGGATCCCAGCTCAGCACGGTGGGAAAACCCAAGGCCAGTGACTTGGGGAGACCTCTGGAATTGGAGGTCAGAGGTCAGAGTTCTTGTTATGGGGTTTTTCCATTTTCCCATTGCAGGGTCACTGACAGATCATTCTGGCCCCCTTCTCCACACACATACACACACATACACACACACACACGCACACAGAGGCACGCGTGTCCCCCTCCTAAGAAAGGCACTGGCTATGCTTAGTTTTAGAGGAAGATGTAGTGCCAGGCCACAGCTGCCAGCAACGGCAAGAGTGGACACCAAAGCCCCGAAGAACGAGGTCAGGCGGTCTGATTTAGGGCCCACTTCTGCCCCTAAATCTGTGCTTAGTCATCATCCCCACCCCACTTCTATATCACTGTATCACGGTCCTCCCCTTGTTCATCGATTTGCTCGAGCGGGCCCAGTAACATCTCCATTGTGACAGTTGTTACTGTGTTTGGCATATCGAGTACGTCACGGGTAGCTTGCCAGGCTTTACGTGTGGGCGAGATCCTCCTGGTAGCTTGCCAGGCTCTCCGAGAGGGGCGGAGGAATGGAACTCGGCTCGGCCACGTTGGCTGCGTGCAAGGCAAACGCCCTGCCGCTGTGCTATCGCTCCAGCCCCACCCCACTTCACTCTCCCTTTATTTTAGGCAAAGGCCTTCCTATTTTTTGTTTTCACTGTTTCTTTTTCTTTTTTTTTTTTTAGGGAGGAGGGTAGACTGTTCACACTCTGTGGCTACTCCTGCTTCTGTGCTCAGGGGTCACTCCTGGAGGTGTCCAGGCAACCATGCAGTGCTGGGGATCAAACCCGGGGCTGTTGCGTGCAGGTGCCTTGTCCGCATCTTCTCCATCGGGCCCCAAAGGCCTTGTTACATGACTGTTGCTCCTCTACTCTCTGGGATAAGGATGGTCCCCAATCTCCCGCCAGCTCCCCCGGAGCCGCTCCCCAACCCCGGCGGGGCTGGCTCTCCAAGGCGGCTGGTCCCGCGGGATTTGCCGTCCTTCCCGACATTCGCCTTCCTTTCCCCAGAGACACACTCCTGCCGCCGAGCGTGGGCTCCCCCCACTCCAGCGAGCCCCCTCCCCTGTCCACCGCCTGGAGGTCGCCCTGGACTGGAGCTGAGGAGTGGATTTCGGGGTGCCCAGCCCCTGCTCCTCACAGGGAGAGCTGTGGCTGCTGAGGGGCCTGAGAACGGGGTTGCAGGCCCGGAAGAGGGGCCTGTGCTGGTCTGTGTGTCAGGCTGTGAGGTCGCGGGACTAGGGCACCCCCGCCCCGCTCTCCGGTGAGCCTGGCCCCTGCTTTCAGAGCTCGCCCTGCTCCCTCAGCATCCCTGGCTCTGGCTTGGGGTCTCTAGGCGCTGCTGGGGCCCCTCCAGCTCCTCTCTTCACCTCCCCCTCCAGGGCCAGGCCAGGCCAGGCCAACCTCGACTTCTGGCCAGAGTCTCTGTCTGGAGCTGAGGATTGGAAGGAAAAGCTATCATCCCCGGGAATGCTGACGCCTTGTCCTAAGCTACAGGACAAGAGTTCCCAGACCCTGTCATGCAGCCTCTTCCCACTCCTCCCCTACCAGGCCTGAGGTGCCAAGATGCCCCGGGGCCATCTCACACTCCTGCCCTGACTCCACAGGGACACGAAACAAGGCAGAGAGACCTCTTGCATTACGTCCCAGAGGACTTCTCCGGGCCCTCTCAGACCCCTGACTCGGGGGGACTGATCGCCAGGCCAGGCGGGTACCTCAGCAGCCCCTGAGAGGGGTCCACAGGGAAGGGACTTGGACCTCTGGCCCAGACCTCTCCCGGGGTGTGGGAGACCCCGCCCCACGACCCTCATAGCAGGAGTCAAGGCTTGCAGTGATCCCGACCTGGCATAACTCTGGGCCTCCCCCATGTGGGAGAGTAGAGCGACTCGTGTCAAGTTGCTTAGTTTGGGAGAAACTTTGAGAGCGATGGATGTTACCATAGGCCCCGGGCGGAGCCACCAGATCACATGGACCCCCTCTGAGAGTTGGGGTGACCCCTCGTCACAGGAGTCCCCACACTCCAGGAAGGGGAGGCCTCTCCGGCATTCCCCGGGTCTGGACCCTTTGCCCTTCACGCCCACCCTCCTGTCATTGGCGCCTGCCAGCCCTCCCGAGGCCCTGTGCCCTTCACCACTCTCTGGGAAGGCCTGACTTGCCCCTTCCACCCGGGGCCTCGCCTCCTGCTCCCTCGAGAACCAGCGAGCGGGGCTTAGCTGCTGGGGGAGCACAGAGCTGACTGGAACTGACGGGGTGGGAAGCGCATCCGTGAGCAGCAGAGGCCAGGGGAGGACGTAGAGGGTGGGTAAGGCCCAGGCAGGGAAAGCTCAGCTCGCAGGGGCCGGGTTCGAAGTTCCCGCTGTCACTGCTTCATCTGAGGACCAGCACTGCCAGGCGACCGGTGTCTCTGGGGAGGTGCGCTGGCCTGTGAGAACTGAACACAGAGTTTCTGGGGGTTGCCTGTCTCAGGCCAAAGAGGGGAGGCCTGGCTGTCCTGGGGCCTCCTGCCAACCCTTCTGCTATGTGCGAGTCCAGGCCAGGCTCCCAAGGCCACCACACCCAGAGGTTCTGTTGGCCCGGATCCGGGGACCTGGCAGCCCCTTCCCCTCGCCGCTACCCCATAGACTGGGCTTTGGGGCTGGAAGTCTCAGAGTCGGGGTGGCAGCACTATCACCAGCCATGGTCAGTCCTGTAGTGAGTGCCATGGCTCTCACATGTGCTCTGACCTCCCAGCCATCTGGAGAATCGGGACACCGCCCACGCCCAGCCCAGGCCCCCGCCAGGACAGCTGAGTCAGGGTCTGTGATCGAGAGGAGGGTCAGGAGAGGAGGGGACAGAGTGGCCAGCAGGGCAGGGGACAGGCCTTGCTACCACTCGAAAGTTTTCCTCCTGTCAGTGGGAAAGGATTGAAGCTCTCCCCCGCCAGTTCAAGGCTCCCAATGCATCA